TACACTTGACACCTCCAAACTAAACCTCCTAAGGCAGTTAAGTAGAAGAGCACTTAAAGTAGGACATGGATCCAAACCAGTCCTCAACCTTGACTGCACATGGGAAACACTTGGGGAATTCTAAAAAATACTTCCACCTAGCTCCCACCCCTAGAGATTCTCAGGTAACTGCCTGGAGTGTGGCCTGAGCATCAGGATTTAAAAAGTCTTCAGGTGATTTTAACTCACTGCTGAGACTGAGAAACAGTGATTGGAACCAGTGCTGCTCCCAGCACGTGAGGTCAATATTTCAACAACATAACCTTATGCCTGAGGAGTGAGGTATATTTAAATGAGCCCAGCAAGGTTGTGGTTATGGGTGTTGTACTAATTCAGAACATCTAGCATGAATAGAAACCAATCTAGCTGGAATGCAGGAAGCAGTCAACCCAGGCCCTGTTTGGTGTGTCTGCCATGCTAAAGAGTCAAGTCAGGAGCTTCCAAGAACAAGAAGCCTGGATTAGTCTTAACAAGTAGCCAAGTATTTTTGCTAGAGCCACTTGTTATGCCTGTTACTGTCACCAAGCAGGTCTTGGATTGAGGAGTCTGGATACTAAGAAATGGCCCTTTAAGGAAAAAGCGGGGGTCTTTTCTAGAATTTTTCCTTGTACTTTAAACTTATAATAGAAGACAGCTTTTTTTACTATCAAGAGTGTCAGTGACATAGGCTTTAAATGTGGTAGATCATGGCATGGTAAAAGATGCTCTTTTACCAGAAAACCAACAACAAAAAGGAGGTGTTCATTGTATTAAAAAAAAGCTATAGAATATTAAGATTACCCAAATTTCAATACTCTAAACTTAAATAAACATCATTTTTACTAACTAGTTCACAACTACCAACTAGTTCACACATACCAGATGCATTTCTCTCGGCTTCCTTTCTGCTTAGCTTTGTATCCCTACATTCATCAGCAGTGTCTGGTAGGGGTGTTCATTCTCCAAGGCATTTTCTCATAATTTTTCCTTTTATAACCACTTCTGTAGGAGCTTCAAGGAGAAGGAACTGTTGAATGCAGTGAATAATGGTTGCAAAAATATAGTCTCTCCAAATAAAAAATTCGGAATGTCACTAAGTCTCACAAATTCTTTCTCAAATAAAAATGATGCTGAGAATAATAAAAAAAAATATACAAGTATCATTTGGCATTGCAAGAGCTGAGATAGTAAAGAAGCAGAAAACACCTACTGAAGAGCTAGACAAACTTTAAACCAGGTTTCCCAGAAAAAAGCCAATTTCCACACACATTTAGCACAGAACCTTAGCCCATGCTCAGTGACTCAATCTCCAAAAGTAGATTATCTGGATTTTTACAAAGCATGGTAAGTACACTGAGTACCTGAGGATTGATAAAGTATTCTGGGTGACAATACAAATTGTGCCAACAAGGAATTAATCATTAGGACCATAAAGTAAGTTATATGACCAATCTTTTCATCTTTCTAACTGAAAAAACAGGTTATTTCCAAATTCTGGAAGGTCATAGCTCAAGGGATTAGAAGACAAACATGGGGGAGAAGAGATCTTGGACAGGCCTGGGATGTGCTAGATAAATGCATATCTGTGTATAATCAACTGCCCAATGCAGACTCCCTAGGAAATAAATATTATGACACAAAAGAATAACAAAGCCAATGACATGAGCACCAAATAACAACCCCACATTACACGTGGGCTCTGAAGTGACATGACCTCCACAGGTTTCTCAATTCATCAGCATCCAGGAAGGCACTCTTGAGGTGATTAGTGTTGGTGGCATGACTAAAATTAAAAACCAAACCAAACCTAACACCATCAAGTATTGGCAAGGATTCGGAGGAAGTAGTATTCACATACATTGCTGTAGGAACACAATACTGGATGCCAATCTGGAAAAGTTTGGCAGTTACATGTAAGCACATACTCACTCACATGACTCAGCAATCCTGGAATTTCCCATAGACAAGTGAGAAAACATGTACATAATGTTTACAGTGGATTCTTCATAACTGGAAATAACCCACTGTCCCTCAATGGGTAGCTGCAGTAATCTGTGATATTTCTTTACAATGGCAAATCATCACTATTCATCAATAACTGTTGATACACGCAATGCCCGTGAATTCAAATGCTTAGGCAAAAGTGAAAAAATTTAGACACAAAAGATTATACAGTATATGATTCTACTTTCATGATATTCTGGAAAAAGCAAAACTAGAAGGATGGCAAACTGAGTGTGAAGAGCAAGAGCTGCCTCATCACAAAACAAAGGACTTCTTTGGGGTGAGATCTCTTCTGGATCATTACAGTGGTGGTTACAGGACTATACATTGGACAAAACAATGAACTCTACACTCCAAAACTAGGAAAGTTTTTGTATGCAAATTAAAAAGTAGATTTTAAAAATAGAAAAAAACGCTCTGCCTGTTCAATGATTTGTAATTTTTCCTTTTACCACCACTCTTTATGGGAGTGGTGGTGGGTCTTTGATATGGCTATTTTTGCAACTGCCCATCTATCTATCACTATAATCTGATACATCTCCCATTTCTGCACAACAGCTAAAATTCCTCTTCTGGGTGAGATCAGTAACCACCTGATAACCATACCAATGGCTTTTTATTTTACTGTTTAGTCTTTGAATTCTTGAACCCGTTGTTGCTCACTCAGCAGAGATGCCACTGCTCAATTATGCTGTTTTCTCTCTTTCTGGCTTTTTTTTTTTTGCTCTCTTCCTCCTTCTATTCTTTAAATATTTTCTCACCCCTTTCTAGTTTTTCTTTCTGAGCTCTTCTCACTCCCATGGCTTCAATCTCTATTCCCTTTAGGACTGAATCCCAGAGTCCACACCTCTATTGTTCTCCTTTATTCCCATACTTCCAGCTGCCCACAAGACCTTTCTACCTACATGTTTTTCTTGTACCCCATATCTCCATGAGTAATGTAGATATATTTCTATTTCTCCCACTAAAGCTGGGTCCTCCTGCATGAATATTTTCATGCCACTCTCAAAATGGGAGTCTAATATTATATGCCACCTTTTTACCTGCATCCTTTGAAATATGCTCTGCAGAACTTGAACTCATTATCCTCAAGCCAGCCGGACCTCCCTGCCACAGTGCAGACCCAATGCCTGTCTAGATTTCTGCAGGAAACTTGAAGTTGGCCGCTGAACTCTTTCTTCTTAAATCATCCTCTAGCCTACACTGCCACTCTTAAAATGAGGACCAGATGGGCAGAATATTTAGTACTTCATTGACCTCCGGAGATTGGCTGATCTGAAACACCCAATCAGCAACCCCCAGCGGCCCTTCCTAAAGCAGCAAAAATCACTGAAGAGAATGACTTCCCTAGATGGGGGTGGGGGGGAGCATGCTTTGTTAAAGGCACAGCTGAGCTTTCCTGCTAGCCCTGCAAATGGGCTCCCAAGGATCATGGACACTGAATTACTTTATTATGTTTAATCAAGGTATGTTATTCTCAAGAATCAGCAACACTTCCCTCCTGCCCACAAAATACTGTAGTTGACTCTTAGCTTGACATTCAACCAGTCCACAACTTGGCCTTAATGTACCATCATCCCTAACTAATCTTCCAGGATTCGTTCATGTTCAGTCTCACATGTGAGTTAATATGACTGAAAATGTGTTCTTTTCCATATCCGCACCTCAACCTACCTTTCCTCCATCCAGCTTTACAGAATACCTATTTTTTTTTTAAGTTTAAGTTATTCCTACAGCCAGTATGTATTCCCCAATGGGTACAGCCAAAGTTAATTCCTTCTTCGCCAAGCTTCTTATAATCTGCAATTATTCTGGGGTTTTGTTTTCCTTCCTAGATCTAGGATTATGTCTTCATCAACATTCCAGCCACTATATTACTTAATACATAGAAGGTGCGCATTTCTGGGTTGAATTATACTAAGCCTCAATATTTTCAAATCTTACATCAATATAATGAGACTTAAGGATTAAAAAAAAAAATCCTTACAAATGATTATTTCCCACACACTAAGAGGCAGGGTGTTATAGAGTTTTTATAGCGAATATGCCAATATAAAGGAGTGTTTTCACGCATGTCGAAGTAATGGTATTAAATAAATGCATGCTCCTGAGCACAACTATCTAATCTAATAATAATAATACTTCCTACCATCCAGAAGACGTAAAATAAGTGCTAGCCACAACACAATGGGGAAAGTGTAAGCTAGCTGCCTCAGTGAAGCATTACCAGCTTTACAACCGAATTTCAAATGGGGTGAGTCCAATACCAAACTGTAGTCTGGTCCCTATCTTACAATTTTTTATTTACATATTTCTGTAGACCCTAAGAACTAAGTGAGACCTACAGATCATTTATTAATTTGGAAAAATGTAGTGATGTATCATAACCAAGATCACGAAGTCCTTGTTATTCACCACATAGACTGGTAAGGACAGAAAAATCCCAAACACATGCTCTCAGTCATTTCCCTCAAAGGAACAGCAGAATTCACAAATTACAGGTATTGATTGATTTCCTGTTTATGCTGTCTCACCAATTAGTTAAAAGCAATTTTAAATCTGGTCTTTATTCAGTAAGATTTTATAAAATAAGTGATCAGATTGGGAACCTAATTGATCACACTCACTTCCACAGCTTTTGAACAGGAGCATCAAATTAAATATATAAAGCTTGGGCAGAGACAGTTTTGTGACTATCATTGTAAGTGATTCCTCAAAACAAGGGCCCGAAAAAGGACTTAATGTCCTCTAGTGGCGAAATAGAAAATTTGTTTCCACATCATTTTTTTTTACAGTTCTTGTTTATCATTGGGTACTGAAAAATGCAATGAAAGAACCGTTCATCCTTAAGAAAAATAAAACTTTCACCACAAGGAATGGGACTTCACTATCTGTTCAGAGAAGAGAAAAGATGCTGACAGACATATGATTTTTAAATGTTGGATTTATATAGTACCTTCCAACATATATGCATATATTTAAACACAGAACACTTCACGAATCTCCATATCCAGCTCACACAGAGGCCAAGCTAATGTTCTCTGTAACTTTCCAATTTCAGGACATTCGGCGACAGCCAGGCCTCAATATTCTCAATAAACATCTTGTTTCATATGCAGCACAATACCAGTCCCTCTTTGATATATACACAAACACATGTATATAATTATGAACACATTACAGGTGTTATTTTTATAATCATCTGAGATGCTAATCTAAATTGCCATAAAATTAGACCACGGTCTCCACACAGCGACACAAAAACTGAAAGACAAATGTAAGAATGTACCTCTTAACCAAGTTTCAAAAGGTTAAAATTTGAAAAATGAATCCCTCAATAAATGTTGCCACTTGAGATGGGAATTTTCACCTCTTGGTGGTAATGAAAGACAGAAATCCACATCTCTCCTGAAAAAACCCTACCTGATTGTTTAAAAATAATGACTTGGGGCATCTGGATGTGTATAATGTGAAATATGTCCATGAGAATAGACTAGTATATTTAAATTCCTATGTTCAGACATAGGTCACATTATATATATATGGGACAATTCTTAAATAGTTAAAAATGCAAACAATCCTCACCGTTTGCTGAAAATATTGTTACCCAGATTTTAAAAAGTAAATTTTCACCTTTTTTGGGCTCCTACTCATATAAAGTGCTGATGAGCACTGAGAACGTTAGTAGTGGTGCAGGGCTAGAAAAATAGGAAAAAGATGTAGGCCAGAATTAAGTTTCGGTTAAGTGATAAAGTACAGTTATTCAAAAGATCATATATAAAATCCACTTTTTGAAAATGGAAGTTTCTAGGCAAAGGAGTCTAAGAATTGTTTTCTATGAAAATGATGGCAGCCAACTAAATTCCCCTCTTCATACAAGAAAATATGTCACTGACACTCTCCTGGTTGACTCGTGTGTTCGATGCATGACCAACTCCTAAGCTAACATGGTCAGGCACTGTCTAGACTAGTTTGTAGTTCAGGTATCTGAATAAGCTACTCCTGTGCAGATTCTATAAAGTGTTTTCTTGAACATAAATTGGTGTGTACTAACTCACTGAAAAATTTTGTTTCAGAAGCAGTTACTCTGTGTGGATTAGGAACCAAACCATTGACATTCACAACTGAGGATACTGCCCTCCTGCTGCCCTTACTTGGGGAAGCCCAACCCTGGCACCCAGTTCCTCAGGTTGCCAAAGCAATCACAAAGGCATCTCCTCTCAGCCACCCCTTCCCCACCCCAAACCAAAATAATGATGAACAATCTTTCCAACCCATTAAGACAAAAGAAACCACTCCACAGGAAGGAACGTGACTTCAAAGTAAACAAGTTTAAGATACCTCAGAGGACTTAACCTCAGGTATTTTGGCTAAAGGGATTAAGTCATTCGATTTTAGGTACCCAATCTCTTCTAGGCAGTGCAAACACATTATTTGCAAATACTGTTATAGCCTTTCTGCACCTTTCATTTTAAAATAAGCACACCACCTAAATGAATTTTTTTTTTGCTTGTTTTTGAGGTGGCTGACATTCTTACATTTACGAAACAATTGTTTCTGATTATATGTGTATGTAAGCAGGAAATAGACTGCAATTGGGTAGTCTGCAATTTGACTTTCTTTTTCAAATAAATAACAGCTCACCGCCCCCACCCCAAGTGTAGGAAGGTACCAGAAAGACTTTACAAGCTAAAAATAGAAAAGGGGACTAGGAGGGAGGGGTGCTTTTGCAAGACAGTTTCTCAAAACAAAACAAAAAACAAAAAAAACACACCCAACAAAAAACTACAGGGTGGGGGTGGGAGGGGACGGATATTACTTTGGTATAAAATGGGGTGTTGGGGAGAAGGGGGGCTGCCTGTTTTGGCGATGGGGCTGCCTGTCCTGGGTGTGTCTGTAAGCGTGCAAGGTCGATAAGGAGAGATAAGGGAGCCCTCAACATATAGGCCTGACGAGCTAAGTCAACGTTCCTATCTCGGATTGGTGCATCGACTGAAAACAAGCAGCCTGGGCTTCTTTCTAGTAAATGACTGAGTCCATCTTGCCGCACGCGCAGACCCCCAGCATTCTGCAACCAGTGCCAGCGCTCGCGACCACACTTAGCTCAGGAGCATGTGATCACTGGGAGAGCCGGGAGCCGGGCTGGCACCCCCGACCGCGCGACCCTCGCGCCCACGCGCCGGGCTGCGCCACCGACATGGGCCACCGGGCACTCCGGGCAGGACAACCCGGGCAGGCGGAGGGGTGCCCAGAAACAGCTAATCCTGCCTGTGGCACCTGCCCGAGGATTTTCCGCACGGCTGTAAGGTCTGGGGGGGGGGGATACGATTTCCAGATTCAACTGAATTAGCCCAGGCGGGCAGGTGGGAGGGGAGCAGCCGCCAGTGTTTCTCCATTTCCTCCTCCCGCCCGCGCTCCCTGGCGTGTTTCCACCTGTTGTGGGAGAATCGAGGTGGAGGGCAAAAGGGGCGCCCGGGACCGGGGCCGCGCGCCGGGGAGGCCGAGCTGGAGGGCGAAGGGCAAACGCACCGCGAGCCCGGAGGCGCGGCGCACCCCGGGGTGCCCGGCCGGGGGTGCCGGGCCACGGCCGCGCGGGCCAGGGAGGGGACCGCCGGAGCCCGGCGCGAGCCCCCCACCCGGCTCGCAGCCCCCCACCCGCCCGCTCCCGCCGGAGCCCGCCGGACGGCGCCGCGAAGTCACCTGTTTCACTCTCCGCCGCACCGTCGCCGCCCCTGTGGCTGTCGCCGCCAGCTCCCAGCTCCGCCATGGTGCTCCGATGACGCGCCCCGAGAGCCGCTCCGCCCTCTTCCCCGGCTCAGCTCCCGCCGGGCCCCAGCCTCCGGGGCCCGCCGCCCAGACAGGTGAGCGCCGTCAGGGAGGGCGGAGGGACAGGGGCGGGGCGGGAGGAGGAGCGCGAGCGCGGCCAGGCGGAGCCGCCAGGCTCCGAGCGCGGGCGCGCCCCCTCGCGGGCAGGTGCGGCGTGGCAGCCGCGGCGACTCCGGCTGCTGGGTCTTGGGGGCGCGAGGAGCCGGCGAAGCCCAGCACCTGGACCCTGAGCGGCGGGTCGCGGCTACCCACTCCTCGAGGTCTGGACGCTGGTCGCGATGCCCCGTGGCTTCAGGGCCAGTGACCGGGACGTGCCGACGATGCGTCCGGGACGCTCTATTCCGCTCTGAACTCTGAAGCAGCCAGGTCAGTTTTGACTTCGCTGGGGCTGGAGTTCACGGTGACAGCCGCAACAGAGATGATGCCACGTGGAAAGCCGAAGTACACGGGCTGGATTCCACGCTGAGTTCCGGTCTCCACCTGCGTTTTCGGGCAGACGTCACGGCTGTTACCTGTCTTTACGGCGGGCCTTTCTATCTGATAAGCCCCGGAGCACGCCACTTAATGAAACTCATGCCAGTGTGGTCGCTTTTCCTACTCTTGGCTTCGGATTAGTAACTGTCTTGGGACTTCTGGCTTGCTTGGGAAGACCAGGGAAAAAAAAGCAATAGGCAACTCTCTCTCTCTCTCTCTCTCTCTCTCTCTCTCTCTCTCTCTCTATATATATATATATATATATATATATTCAACTATATATATAGTGTGTGTATACACATATATACATATATGAACACAATATATACACAATATTATATATATATATACGCACTATATATACACACGATATTACTAGCTGAGAAGAAACCAATTTTTTCTCTAACAGGCAAATAAAGGTTAAGCAACAAAAAAATGCTGAGGGAAAAAAATGTAGCATACATAAATGGAAACATAAGGAACAAAATGGAGTAACAAACAGTTCTAGTTACACAGAAAAGCACTCCCACGTACCTAGCAATCTCCCTACAGTTTGACACCCTCCCAAGGACTTTAGCAGAATCTTACTAGTATAATCCTCACCATTGTTGCATGAAAAACCTGCCATGCTGAGCTGATTGGACTGTTTCTGTTTGGCTTACTAGTTTTCTGAGTGACTGGATAGAGGTTTTGTCTGAGGGACACTTTTATGTTTTGTAGTTATGACTTTCCCCCTTAGTGCCGTTTCTATAACAAATTAGGCAAACTGATTCTTGAGCAATGTTATCTTCCTAAATTTTATTCAAATTATTTTATCAGCATTCCATTCAATAAAAATAAAGCACATGGTTGGCGGAGATAGTTTTACACATCGGCTTGGAGACACACACACACTTCATTAAGTCATCAGATCTTAAACACTTTCATAGGGACATCAGAAAGACTCTCTTTGCTGAATTTAAAAAGTTGAATACTCAGGAGGAAATTTGTAAGTGGTTTTCAACTTTTTGATTTACTACCTACTTAAAGTAAACCAATGAGTTTTCTCCTTTAACCACCCCCACAAAAAACTCAAGATTTATTGGTGTTTATATTTTTTATGTGGGTTTTTGGGGGGAGATTTTTTTTTGCGGGGGGGGGGGGGGAGAAGAGCAGTGTGCTTATCCCTTGTCCCATTCTTTTACCAAATTCTGCTTCAATTCAGTCTGTCATGAAGTTACACAAAAATAAGAGCAATAAGAAACACAGTGAAATCCTGCACTTCACTATTCCTTCCAAACTTAATGTGGTGTCTGTAACAGAGTGGGCTGTTTCATGAATATGCGGGAATGGATGACATCTGCTAAATGTCGCACACCATCAAGTACTTTGTGTGTACTTTACTTAGAACACGAAAGCCATCTGTCTTGAGCTCCCACATCCCTCTCAGAATCTCTCAGAAACATTGTGGTTCCCCTTCCCAGGGGAGTTGGAACTCCCAACACCTCCCCACCCCCCTTGACTCCTTTGCAACTTCATTCTTATCTCACCCTACTCCCCAAATGCCTCTCCATTCAGCAGTTCTATCCCCAAACATTCTGGACTCCTCACTTTGAATATTTGTTCTTTTAACTTTCCACACTTCCAAATCTATTGTCATACAATTTGTTCACCAAAGGTTAAAAAAAAATGTGGACTCAAATGCCCTTTTGGTCTTAACATTTCTTAATCAATTGTAACCTTTCTTCCTGTTTATCAAAACTTTCCAAGTCATGAAATCAAATTGCCTGTTATTATTTTTTAATTCATGTTTCCCCTGGATTCTCTGCAGTACTTGATCAAGTCTTCCTCTTGGTTTACCCCACTAGCTTGGTGGTTATTTAGTCTACTTTGCAGACTTAAATTCTTCCTACTCCCCAAAACGTCCTCCTCGCAAAATGTTAGGCTATAACGTTTTCTATCTCTCCTCTAGTCCTCACAGTCCTTATTTATTTTTCTGTCAATCCAGATGACTCCTAATCCAGAATATAACTCCCCTGACCTCAGTGCTGACTTCCATCACCATTCAGTGATCTTGGCACATTTCTATCATGATGCCCTGCCATTAATTTAACAAGTCACAAACAGCTCCCCCTCCAAAACTTGCCTATTTGCCTACTTCTCTTACTCACAGAGGCTCAATATCTACCTTTTCCCATATCACTGCTCAAATCAGTATACAGACAGTATCAACTCATTAATTCTACCCCCTCAATTCCTATTGCTCTAACTCCAACTAGACCCTCATTCACATCTGAAATAGTTTCTGAACAGCTCTGTCCAGTTTCTGTCCCCTCTAACTTGCCTGACACAACTTCACCAGGTCAAACTCCCCATATACAACTACTTACATACACCCTGCTCTTGCTCAAAAACCTTCAATAGATTCCTCATTTCTACATAACTAAATACTAGCTGCCCTTTACCCACCAGTCATTCCCCCCAATCTTACCCCGAGCTCTCTCCTACCCCATTTTCCACTTCTCATCTCTATATTCCATATTTGCAGCCAAATAGGAGCTACACTTTCTGTGTGCTCTATACGTGTCCTCCCTCTCAAGAACACCTTCCCGATCACAGCTTTCTGCCTTTGCTTTTGTTGCTCTCTGCCCAAAGTGTCTTTCTTGGCCCTGACTTATTTAAAAATAAGTCTCTCCAAGGCTTCGGCTGAGGTTCATCATCCTAGTGAAGTGTATTCCAGCTGCCTGGCTTTCACAAGCCTCCTCCGAACTTCTCGCGGGGTTTCCAGGCTAGCCCCTCATCCAGCCTTAACACAGACGAGGTGCGCCTTATTATTGTAAGGTTGTCTCTTCCTTCTGATATGGATACTTGGTGGCAGGACCTTTGTCTTCTATTTCTGCATAGAGTGTTCATAAAAGTCTGAGCCATCAATTATTTGTTTACAAATTTCAGCTGCTCTTAATGACATAATGTGTTATCTGCATTCTGAACTTGATGGGCGTGGTGTTTATCTTTCCTGCTGCTACAGTGCCTTGCCCGTGGTAGGCGTTCCAGTAGGTTAATCATAATTACTTATTGTCAAAGTGTTTTATGTGGTACCCTAGGAGGGATTAAAGCAAAAACGCAATGACAGAATTTTGAGAAATGATCAAATGTGGTTAAAAGGAGACACCGGATTTACTTTACCCAGCAGATTCCTGTTTTGTTACTGTTAAAAGACTGTCTCCACCATCCCTGCATAACTGTTCAATTACAGTTATTTTCCAGGCTAACTTCTAGGTCATGTCTGCTCTGGAAAGCTTTTCTTGACCCCTGCTGGCTGTATAGCATTTACTGTACATTTACTGCACATTTACTATAGCATTTACTGTACATTTCTGTTGTTTCTGCTTTATTTTGATCCCACCTCTAATGCCGAACTTCTCGGCACAAGAACTGGGTCTTGTTCATGACCTAGTAATGATTTAACAAATAACTTGAATGAATGATAATAATCGCATGGAGCAATCTCAGTGCTTACTATCTGCTCAGCATGCATTAAGCACCTCCCTTGCATTCTTCCACTGAAATCCTGCAGCAATTCTCTGAGGAAGGCATAACGTTGCTATCATCTCAGACAGTAAAGACTTGGAATGCTGAATTTGCCCAAGGTCAAAAGGAATGTGACAGTTTTACTCTAGGCCAATGTGAGTAGACTCTTGCTACACTAAATGAACAATGAATCTTACTACCACCTCAAAGGGGAGGTATTCTCTCCAGGTGTCACTTGGGATAAGGAGGTGGGACTTGAGCGTGAAATTGTAATTTTTATAGCCCCCCAGTGGCATGACCTCAGATTACTGAACTCACAAAGCTTCTGTTTCCACGTGAAAGATGGGGATTTAGAACCTATTCCATAGGGGTGTTGTGGGACTAAATGAGAACATTCACATGAAACACTCACTGAAGGCTCCATCCCTTGACATCAGTGTCCCAGTCCCTCAAACAATTGTCACACAAGGGCCTCCCTGGTGGAACAGGGGTTAAAGACAGCGCTATCAAGCTATCGCCAGCCACTGCAGCAAGAGTTCGATCCTGGGCCAGGGAACATCCAAATGACACAGCAGATCTCACCTGACTCGCCCACTGCTCCCCTCAGCAGTATATTTCAGTAAATCTGCCAGTTCTGCTCCCCACTCTGTCTCTGGTGAATCCTCTCACCTCCCCTCACCTCTGATTACACCCGAGTTCTTGTATGCATAAATAAATCTTAAAAAAAAAAAAAAACTCTCATACAAGCCAGCCACTTGGGGACTCATCTCACAACCATTTCCTTATATCAGCTCCTACAGTCCTGCTGCCTAAGCTGAGATCTCAAGTCTTCCTCTTCCTGTCTTTTTTTTTTTTTTTTGATAACTATATTTGGTCCTATGTCATCTTTCTGTTCCTCAGAACCTCTGTATCTGCTATTCATTCTACGTGGAAAGATCTGTCTTCTCTTCAACCCCCCTATCTCCTATATCTCCTTGTCCCTTTCTTCTTCCCTTCGCTTTTTTTTTTTTTTTAAAGATTTATTTATTTATTTATTTATTTATTTATTTATTTATTTATTTATATAAGCACTGGGTATAGTCAGAAGCACAGGAGGGTGAGAGAATCCACCAGAGCCAGAGAGGGGAGCAGAACAGGCAGACTAACCAAATATACTAGTACACTGCTGAGGGGAGCAGCAGGCGGCAGGAGAGGTCTGCGCTCAGGTGGGACTCTCGCCCTGCAGCCGGGAATCGAACCCGGTGCTGCAGAGGCTTCGGGCAGCTTCGCAGCCCAGCACTCAACCACTGCACCACCGGGGAGGCCCCCTCCCCAACTCTTAATCCCAGAAATGCCATTTTATTAATGTTCACTAGTTTTTTTGCAAGGATTTTGTTTTTCCCAGTCGTTTTTTATGCGAATGTCTATCATTGTGACTTGCTTTAATGCACATGATCCCCTCAAACTCATTCCATTTTTCTGTAAATGGGAGCATTTCACTTTTCCCTATGGCTATGTAGTATCCACTTCACATCTTTTTGATCTACTCACCTATCATGGGCATTTAGATTGCTTCTGTGTTGTGGAGCTTTTTAAAAGGATCTCTGGGACTCACCCTAGACCAATACAGATTCTCTGAGGTGATGGCATCAGTATTTTTTAAAAAATCAAACAATTCAGGGCCTCCCCTGGTGGCGCAGCGGTTGAGCGCTGGGCTGCAAAACTCTGCAGCGCCGGTTCGATCCCCTGCCACCGGCAAGGGTCCCACATGGCGCACAGACCTCTCCTGATGCCCGCTGCTCCCCTCAGCAGTGTATTTTGTCCGTCTGCCTGCTCTGCTTCCCGCTCTGGCTCTGGTGAATTCTCTCACCCTACCACGCTTCTGACTGTACCCAGTGCTTGTATAAATAAATAAAAACAAAATCTTAAAAAAAAAAAAAATCAAACAATTCACTTTAATGTAAAGTTGGGTTAAGAATTATTGGTCTGGGGCATCCCCGGTGGCGCAGCGGTTGAGTGCTGGGTTGCGAAGCTGCCCGCAGCCTCTGCGGCGCCGGTTCGATCCCCAGCTGCTCCCCGGCCACCGGAGGAGGGTCCCACATGGTGCGCAGACCCCTCCTGCCACCCACTGCTCCCCTCAGCAGTGTACTTCGGTCCTTCTGCCAGCTCTGCTCCCTGCTCTGGCTCTGGTGAATTCTCTCACCCTCCAGCGCTTTTGACTGTACCCAGTGTATGTATAAACAAACAAACAAACAAACAAATAAAACAGGCCTCTATTTAAAAAAAATTTATATAAAAAAAAAGAATTATTGGTCTGGAGTCTCCCTGGTGGCACAAGGGGTTAAGTCTCAGCATTATGAAGCTATCCCCAGCCTGGGAGCTGACCCACATGGTGCAGCAGATTTCAACTGTCTGGTCTACTGCTCTTCTCAGCAGTGCATTTCAGTCTGTCTGTTCTGCTCCCCACTCTGTCTCTGGTGAATCCTCTTACCCCCGCACCTCTGGCCTACACCCCAGTTCTTCTATGTAAAAATAAATAAATAAATCTTTAAAAAAGAATTACTGGTCTACATTTATGCCAAAGAACTTTCAAGTACAAACCTTTCATGAACTTTGAGCCATTATGGAACTGCCTAATTTTGTGACTAAGATTCAACATTGTGAGAAAAAAGTTTAATGATGCTTGTCTGGGAATGTGTTATAAGCAGAGAGGGACACAGGAACATTCTGCCCATGAACATAAGGGAGGAGGAGGAGCACAAGGAAAGTCTTTATCATTAAAGAGTCGGTTGCATGAACAATGATATAAAGAATATATACATATATATATATATATAAAAGAATAAAAAGAAAATTTAAAAAAAAATCCTGAATTAAAAAAAAAAAGAGCTGGTTGAAGATAGGTAGCTTGATCCTATGGAGGGTCTAAAAGAAGCCCTAAACCATAGAATTGAAGAGAGAACTGGCTTAGTCAAGAGGATACCTAGTGTTTCAATATGAGTATCATAATTCACACTTCACCACCTTTGAAATTTCCCCGAAGGATACGAGAGATAACTATTTGTCCTCAGGAATGGAAGGGGAAAAAAATGCAGCTATATTGTTGCAAGTATCAAATGAGAAAATAATGGTGAGACTTTTTTGTATATGCTAATATAATGTAAAAGATATTTACCTTGATGTTCACATAGAACGAAAGATGACTTCTGTTTTATCAAAGACTACTATATATGGATCAAGTCATGATACATAAACAGCTGTTTTATTTCTATTCTGCATAATAAACAGGTCCTGTATATTTAGGAATTTATTTATCTCATTTATCCATCTAGGAGCTGTAGACTTCATCCTATTAGTTGGGTAGTCTTATCAAATATAACATTCAGGTTAAAATAAAAATATTTCCTGGCAATAGGAAAACTTAAGATAATAGAAAGTGTAGTGTTCTCTATGGGATGCCATTGCAGACCTTTGAGACACACAATAATCATTCACGGTAACTTGGGGCTTAAAGAAAACACACTTGCTTTCTTTTATTCTTTTTCTCCACCTTCTTTCTTACCCTGATGTCCTGAGGAACAACCCAGATATCAGCTGTGCTTTGATGACTTGACTAGAAGACAGATCCTATTGAAAGACATAGCTGAAGAAACAACTAGAATTTGACACAGGAGTTTATCTAGTTTGTCAAAACAAAATAAGAATTCTTGAGAATTTATCAAAGCAGTATGTTGAGAGTCTTTTTACTTTTTAGGGGAAGTATGACACAACGATAGCTTTAGAACAAGCTAACATTACTAGGATTCAGGCATGTGCAACTGGTACAGTTCAGTAGTACATAAACAACTCAAATGAATGTACTATGGGCCAGAAACTTAAGTTACAAAATATAGTCAATATTACAATTAGTACAGATAAGTAGATAAAAACCATTACTTTCAGATACTGCACATTTAAAAAACATAAACTTTATACAATAATTGAAATTATGCATTTCTACTCAGATTACCAGAGCATATTACAAGCACACATAAGCCTAAAAAGTTATGGTCACATTTTGTTTTTGTTCCAGTGATGCACAATCACATGAAATGTCATATCCATTTTGTGTGAAATAAACATTTGGCTGAAGTACAATTGCTGCTGGGATAAAAATATTTCCATTAAAATGTTTAGGCTAAAATAATCCTAAACATGATAATGTTTAGGATTATTTTGATAGTTCTTATGAATTATAGAAATAGGAGCAGTTAGGAAATTTCAGTGTATTTTTGTCTATTTTTTTTTTTAACATGAGTAAACAAATACTGGATTTAAAGTGCAGCTTCTTTCTCCTCTCCCTTCGATTCTCTGAATCCTAAGAAGATCCGTTCGGTGTTTGTTTTTAGAACCTCCATGGAAAGCTGGAAACAAATGGGGGACCGTCAAGTCTGTTTGTCTCGAAAGTCAGTGATGGCCTTCCACAGTGTACAGAGCATCCCGCCCCTGTTGAAAGACACAAGAACAGGGTGAAGAGAATGTGTCTTCAAAAACATTGCCCTTGAAATAGAAACGTGACTTCTTAGCACTCTGCTACTCTGATCAGAACCTTGAGGATCCCAAATTCTTATCAGTCATTATGTAGCCTTTTTGTATGTTTTTCCTTACCAACCCTCCATGTCTTTCCTGTCCACTCCCACAAACTACCAGATCCCAAAGCACTATTTTTGATTTTCAGCATTTTTGAAATGTGCCTTTATAGAGGTGGGTGTCATTTACATGCATATATGCTTGGCCTAATGGAAAAACTATTTATCATAAGAAACTGCATCAGAGTAAGCCAAGTATTTGGAAGGTAAATCAGTACCTCATATTTCTACATGTGCCTCAATCATGAGCTACATTTGAGCATTTAAGATGGCATTAGAATATCTGCATGATCTTAGGCTGTCATTCTTCCAGTTGATTTGCATTTTTTCTTTTTTCTTAAAAGATTGATTTATTTATTGATTTATTGATTTATACAAGCACTGGGTACAGTCAGAAGCACGGGAGGGTGAGAGAATTCACCAGAGCCAGAGGGGGGAGCAGAGCAGGCAGAAGGACCGAAGTACACTGCTGAGGGGAGCAGCGGGCGGCAGGAGAGGTCTGCGCGCCATGTGGGACCCTCCTCTGGTGGCCGGGGAGCAGTTGGGGATGGAACCGGTGCTGCAGAGGCTGCGGGCAGCTTCGCAACCCAGCGCTCAATCACTGCGCCACCGGGGAGGCCCTGATTTGCATTTTTTTAAAAGATTTATTTATTTATACAAGCACTGGGTACCGTCAGAAGCACAGGAGGGTGAGAGAATTCACCAGAGCCAGAGCGGAGAGCAGAATAGGCAGACTGACGAAGTATACTGCTGAGGGGAGCAGCAGGCAGCAGGAGAGGACTGTGCGCCATGTGGGACCCTCGCCGGGCGCCAGGGATTGAATCGGTGGTGCAGAGGCTGAGGGCAGCTTCGCAGCCCAGCACTCAACCACTGCGCCACCCGGGAGGGATTTGCATTTTTAATATAGAAATATTGGTTTTTAGAACACCCAGTAACAGCCTGGTCCTACTAACTCAGTGTACTCAGAGCAATTAAGAACCAAACAGCTCTGTCCTGGATTTAGAGCTAGTTAGGTACCCAGCCAGAACAGGAGCCCAGACTTCTTGATCTCAGCCAGTGCTCTTTCCATGATGACAAATAAGCAGTAAGCAAAGTGGTACCTTAGTCTCAGGCATTTTAAATCATCTCGTGTAACATAGCAGAGAACATCCATCAGTGAATAATTCTCAGCCAAAAACTGTGGAGAAAGTAAAATATGCACAAAATTAAGATGGTTTATTTGCCTTTCAAAAAGCAAACTCTGTCTATTATGTTAACTTTGGCAATAATTAAAACTGCAAATAAAAGGAAATTCACTAACACAAACTTCTGGAATTATTAAGGGACAGTCTTTCCCATTATAAAATAATTACAAGGAACTATATGCATGACTTCCAAATGTGTAAAGATTATAAGCAACACAGAATTTCTGAATGGTTTTCTAATGAATAGATAAGATTCACTTGCAATTACATCTACTGTTCTTAAGACAATATCTGTATTAAGAGATTTGGTACTGTGTAGTTTTATTTTTCGCAAGTGGATAAAAAGTGTTCTTGGAAAGATATTGCCTACACTTAATACTTGAACTTATTTTTGATGGCTAATAAAATGACTACAAAATCAGAATCCTGAATGTAAACTGAAGTTTTTATGTTTTAATCTAATAAAAAGAGCGATGAGTCAGTAGCTGTGATTTACATCTAAGAGAAATATATATTTTGGAGAACTTGATCGAGTTTGGGTGTATTATTTTCCACAGGCAAGAAAGTTGTTTAAATTTATGGAGCAGTAACTTATTAAATGTAGATTTCTAAGGAGATGCTAAATTTTAATTAGTGGCCTAATAAATGATGAATTCAGTTGAAAAGACAACTTTAGTCTTAAAAATTTAAATACAAAACTGAAATCAATGTATTAAGAGGCCTTTTCTATAAATTAATAGATAACTTCTATGCCTATATGTACAAACATACATGTAGTCTTAAAACATAAAATAATGCCATTATACCAATAACAAAAATCTATAAGGACTTCAGAGGAATTAGGTTATTATAGATGTAATATGGGTTGTATTTGACATAAATTCACTGATTAGATCTATTTTATTATGTAGCAATAAGTAGGTGCTTCCCTGTAGCATCTCAAAATGTTGCTTAATAATGATATTTTAAAATGAAAAATTTTAAGCAAACAAAAGAAAATTAAAAATAGAAGATTATCTTTTAGTTTCATCTTGATTTTTCCCACTGTTCCTTATTTTCAATTCAAAAACATGAAAATCCTTAGGTCCTTTCTAGACCACATAGTTTTTGGCTGCTTCACTGCCTCTGCACACTCTGCACTCCCACCCGAGTGATTTCCCCCTGCCTATCTGCATGCCCACCAAACTACATACAGATGGCCTGTTTATTCTAATGGATTCCCTTAAGCCTCAGCCAATTCATTACCTTCTCAGAGAACCTCCCTCACCTCTCCCTCCATCTCATAACCTTTCTGATAACCTTTCCAGCACAGGATTTATCCAGGTATAATTGTACTTTTACCTGTGGAATGATTTTACTGTTCTCTTACCCTAGTTTGTAGGAAGGAAGGGCTGGGATTATGTTGTTTACCAGTGTGCCCAGAGCATAGTAGGCACTCAACAATATGAAATGAAGTGAAAGTGCTTATCCCACAGATAGTTATCTTTACCCGACTTATAGTGTCTTCATCAGCTCCATTTCCTCTCAACCAGTCAGTAAGTTCAGAATCTTCAGTATTTGTGCCAGAAGAATTTAGGTGACTTACAGACAATCCAGGAATATCTAAGACAGAATTGGGGTGGGTGGTATGCTTAGCTTCATTTAAAACAGGTTATCTGAGACTCTTCCAGTCAAAAGAAATGTATTGATACATTAAAATATTTTATCAGAAAAAAATAGAAACAATTGAGAAAGGCAGAATAAGTGACACTATAAATAACTCTTAAAGACTAGTTAACCAACTAATAAATGGAGAGTCAAGAAATAATGCAGTGATATTCCCATTTCATACTTTATATAATTTTATAGTTTCTTAGACTACTTTGTGCACAAAAATTGTACATGGAAAGATGAGCCTAAGTAGGACAAAACTGTATAATTATAATTTTTCCCACTACTGGTAATAATACGGAAAAACCATATGTCTGAATGTAAACTGAATAATATTTTCCTCTAAACTGGCAAAATAAAAATTTCTAATGATTATCTTCACCCCCAACTTCTAACAGAATAGATTTCATCAAAGTTCTGATCTCTGACTTAAAAAATTGAGCTCTAATTGATATAGCACATTGTATTAGTTTTTAGTGTATCCATTTATGACTTTTATTACTCTATTCTATTTAGGCATTGTCAAATTATAAGAGGAAAAAAACTAGAATAAAACTAGAATAAATAGAATACAAATAAAAAAAGTATTATTTTAGTCTAGTAATTTTAAAAAGGAAATAAAGACAAAATACTTGAAAAGCTCTATTTTCTCAAAAATATATACCTTACAAAAAGGTGACTGAGTCATCTCATTTTTACTGCAGTTTGCTACAATTAAGAATAGGATTTTTTTAAAAAACACTCCCTACTTGTGGCTGTGGTACAAGTGACATATGATGATTAAGCCATGAAATAAAACTGCCTGCCAGCTTTCCCCGTTCTCGGGCAGCCTGTTTAAACAATATGACTTTAACATATACTACTATTCACCTATTGGTTGGGACTTAAGCTTCAGGTGTTTAATTTCTTGGTCTTTTTCTTCAATAGCTTGATGAAGGAGTGCTTGTAGTTCTTTCTCTTTACGAACCAATTCTTCCAGTAATCTGCGGAAGAAGATTACATTGGTTGACAGGGTAATAAAGCTGGAACTGACACCAAGTGACCTTCTGATGTGGGCTTCTGAAGCGATAAAGAAGCATGGACACCAGGGATTTTAATGAAATGCAGCTTCTGGTCTATAGCTCTGCAGGGAGGGCGGAGAGTCTGCATTGCTATTGAGCTCCAGGTGATAGTCCTGGTGTTGGTCCATAGACATAAGCATTGAGTAGTAAAGTTCTAGAAGACGTCATGCTTCCAGACAAAAGACAAAATCTCCATCCCAATTACCTGCAAACTTTTCAGAGATACTGTTCCTTTGTTTCTTTTTATGACCTTAAATGGCATTTCCATGTGTGACCCTTTATCAAAATAGGTCTGGTCAATCAATATGGGTATTGTAATACAAAGTAGAAAGGTAGTAATTTTTTTTAAACTAGCGAATAATTTCACTCACATGTGGTATATAGCAAAACCAAGCAAATGAAAAATAAAAAAAGAACCCTTTAGTCTATAAAACTAATTGGTGGTTACCAGAAGGTAACAAAGGAGGGAAGGTGGATATATTGGGTAACAGGTCAACTGTATGGTGAAGGACAGAATTGGACTTCAGTGGTGAACTTAAGGTAGTATATATACGGATGCTGATTTTTTTTTTTTTAATAGAGGCATGTTTTATTTATTTATTCATTTATTTGTTTGTTTGTTTTTTTGTTTATACATGCACTGGGTACAGTCAGAAGCGTGGGAGGGTGAGAGAATTCACCAGAGCCAGAGCGGGGAGCAGAGCAGGCAGAAGGACCGAAGTAAATTGCTGAGGGGAGCAGCGGGCGGCAAGAGAGGTCTGCGCGCCATGCGGGACCCTCCGGGGAGCAGCCAGGGATCGAACCGGCGCCGCAGAGGCCGCGGGCAGCTTTGCAACCCAGCACTCAACCGCTGCACCACCGGGGAGGCCCCAGGGATGCTGATTTTTAATAATACACACCTGAAACATACGTAATGTTATAATGCAATGTTAATAACAAAATTTAAAGAGAAAAATTGAGAAATAACTATGGGCAAGGTGGTCTATAGTTCCAGTAAAATAACCCGCACTCAAATATTAATGGTTGTTGGTAGACTGGATTGTTGTGTTTATTCTTCTCCCTTCCAAGTGTGGCTGGAGTGGATAAAAGGCTAGCTGTGGTCCTGATACACTCATTTCCTATTTATTATTGGATGCATTTTACAAAGAAAAAGGAAAAACTAAGATATTATTTATACCATAGTTCTTACCCATGAAAATGATAGAAGCTGAGAATAGAAAAATTCAGGATGAAAGGTCTCATAAGGACAAACATCAGAGGGTGTGGGTAGGGACAGTTAATAAATCTTTAAATTTGGCTATGGAAGTTTCCAGGAATCTGAGGTGGAGTCAGAAAAGATTATCAGCAGAGGTGGGGCAGAGAAGATTATCAATTCTGGAAGACAAATCCAACCTGACCCCAAGGTGATAATTTCCACAAAAATTCCCAATAAAGAACACTATAAAAGAACACTTCTTGTCTTTTAAGACTGCCCACCTGTTTCTATGCGGGCATTTCTTTTTCCTTCTCTCTTTTCCTTAATAAACTTGCCGTGTGCTAGAGAGTGGGAACATAATGCTGAATTCTTTCTCAAATGGACCCAAGAACCCCACACTTGGAACACCATCATCTGAACCCCAATAAAAGGCTCACTATACAACTGGGAGCCAGCTGGTAACCTACTCGCCATTACTGACAGTTTCTCTAAGAAATATTCCAAGTTATGAGGAGAGATGTTCTGACTTTTTAGAAAATTATTTCTAAGTAACTTGTATTCAAAATTATAATGTGACATAATTATTAATAAAATTATCAAGACAAATTTGTATATCCTACAGCTCTTAACAAGCAGTGTTTGTTTCATTTTCTGGGTATTAGTGGATTTAATTCTGGACCAGATTCCAGTCCAAAAGTCTGTTTCCTCCTCAGTTGAGCTGTTCTGAAGGCAGCAGCGTGGTGCAACTGAGAGAGGCCCTTGGCTTGCCTCCCGGTCAGCCATGCACTTCCTGTGTTTACTCTAACAAATTACTTAACACCTCAGAGCTTCAGTTTCCTCATTTATAAAAAGGAAAAGTAAAACTTCCCGAAAGGTTTACTGTCAGCGTTAAATGAGACAACACATATAAAGTGCCAAGCACAGTGCCTGACCTTTAATAAGAGTGATTCTGTTCTCTACTGCAGTCTCTGGAGGTCCTGGAAAAGAGTTTTCCCAGAGCCCAGTAGGGATATCTTCCCTGACCCCCATGTCCACCCCTTATTCACAGGAACATAGTGATGTGGGATCCTTAAATAGAAGAAAGATTCAGGGAAGTGGTGGCACAAGAAGAAAACACAAGAGGCAGCCAGAGAAAGTGGTCTGGGAAGACAGGTTATTTAAAGACACCTGCAGAGTAAGCAGTGCATACTCAGGTGGGTTATGCAATAGGAACTGAAAGCCAGAAAGAAGGAAGCAGAGGATTAGGAGACTTTTATATACTTCAACAGGAATTATATTTAAAGAAATGGCTCAGTATGAATCTTTAAAGTTGGGAACTTTTTAAATCTGGTATATATTTTTGTCTTCCTTGCTAGTTTTCATGTATGAAATATATTTAAAAAATCATTTTATTTATTTATACCCACAAGAACTGGGGTCTATGCCAGAGGTGCAGGGGTGGAGGTGTTGAGAAGATTCACCCGAGACAGAGTGGGGAGCAGAACAGGCAGATCTACTGAAATACACTGCTGAGGGGAGCAGCAGGCGAGACAGGAGAGGTCTGCTACGCCATGTAGGCCAGCTGCCTGGCTGGGAATTGAACTCATGCTGCAGTGGCTGCTGATAGCTTCATAGTGCTGAGACCTAACCCCATATACCACCATGGAGGCCCTCATGTATGAAATAATGATAACACAATCTTACTGTTTCTCAAAGAATAGTGAAGTTCTCTAGAATTTCACATTTCTTTATCTGGACTATATGTTTCCTTTTTCTCTTTAAAAGTCAGACCTTAAATTGGAAGCTAAGTAAGGGGAGGGCACCTAATTTATTCCAAATCCAGCTTTCAGAATTATTTATCTTGAGGATAAATCCAATACACCAGTTTTATTTTCACTTTGTTTTAAGTTGGTAGGAAAATCCTTCAAAACCAAGGCAGTTGCCTAACTTTCTGTTCAAGAAAAGTTTAACAAGGATCTGTCATGAGGTCAATTTTTTCACTTTGCAGGGTGTGGGTGGGGAGGCAGGATGGTGGGTAATTCCAGAATTTCAGGAAAGGGAAATAAGATAACCAGTCAGTTCTGCCTGAGTTACATTTTAATAATGTCCCTTCATTAATGACCCAATTTCTTGTGAGAAGTAAAATATTTCAGCAACATTTATGAAAGCATATATACTTATATATAGTAAGACATACATTCTAAAGCCATGTTATTATTTTATGCTGATGGTGTGATAATCAAGAACTGGATACACCTAAGTTACCTATATCAGCAATCATCCTAAAAATCAGCTTAAGATTTTTTATATGAGGGACCTCCCTGGAGGCACAAGGGGTTAAGTCTGAGCACTACGAAGCTATTGGCAGCCACTGCAGCACGAGTTCGATCCCTGGCCAGGGAGCTGACCCACATGGTGCAGCAGACCTCTCCTATCTTTCCTGCTGCTCCCCTTAGCAGTGTATTTCAGTCACTCCACCTGTTCTGCTTCCTACTTTGTCTCTGATGAATCCTCTTACCCCCCCACTCCAACCCCCTGCCCCTCTGGCCTGTACCCCAGCTCTTGTATGCATAAATAAATAAAATAAATCTTTGAAAAAAAAAGGTTTTTTTATATGAGAATGGCAACCTATCCTAAAAGCACTCTAATATTTTCTCTTAAGTTTGTTTTGCAATTTATTTACTTCTATATGGCAAGTAATATTCAGCTGAAAATGACAAGGGCAAATAAACACCCGACCAACTCCTTTTTTCCACTGCTCAGTACTCATTGTATAGCAGCTGCCTTCTATTCTCATGTTCATCTCACTTTTCTGTGGTTGATGGAGGAACTATTCGAGATAGTACTAGAAAGAAAAAAAAGAGGCCTAATAATCTGGTAGATCAAAGGGTCAAATATAAATATGTAGAGAGAAAATATAAATGTGTAGGCTGTTATGAAAAATGCAACTTGTACTACTCTAATAAAGAAATGTGGCAAGTTCTAGTATTTTCAACAGAGATGGGCAGTTAGGAAGACGTGGAGAAAGGTGTGGACAGAAGCAGTCCTTGGGGATTGATGGCATAAGCATGAGGACAACAGGGACAGGGTGGTAAGCACTTAAATGGCCCAAGGAGAGAAAGGGAAGGATGCATTAAGAGGTAGGTTCTAGTAACATAGCCAGGGAATGTAGACGGAAGGAGAAGCAAATACATCCACTCATTAGTAAAGAAAGGAGCTTTACTCTTATAACTGGAAGCTGTGAGGAGGGCAGGGGGTTAGACCAGAGCAGCTGAGTGAACTGACTCTCCAGAGATGAGAGAAGCACGTGGAAAACAACTCCATTCAGGACTGTGTGGCAGAGAGTGAGCTGAAGAGAAGTGAGTCAAGTTAACGTGTACTCTGACTGACCGAGTCACAACTGGGCTATTGCTTGAGAAATCGGGGACAACAAGATTTCACTGGACCAGAAGAGAAAAGATTCAAAGCCTCTTCCATTCAGTAGTAGAGATGGTAAACAAGATGTGGGTTTCAGAGGACAAGAGTGGGATATGGAAGTCAGAAAGCCACTTCTCTTTTCAGAAACATTTTACTATGCAGATTAGAGAAGATATGTATGGATTTACTTCATCATGCAGCCAGAATTCTTGTTTCTGAATACTGGAGAGCTTGGTACTATTCATATGCTTGATAGTCAAACTTCCACTTTAAAATCCTAATCTTAAGGGCCTCCCTGGTGGCACAAGGGGTTAAGATGCAACCTATGAAGCTATCTGCACCCTCTGCAGCACGAGTTCGATCCCTGGCCAGGGAGCTACCCACATGGCGCAGCAGACCTCTCCTGACTCGCCCGCTGCTCCCCTCAGCAGTGTATTTCAGTCAATATGCCTGTTCTGTCCCCCACTCTGTCTCTGGTGAATCCTCTCACCCTACCCCCCCCCCCCACACACACCTCTGGTCTGTACCCTGTTCTTGTATGCATAAATAAATAAATCTTAAAAAAAAATAAAATCCTAATCTTATGATTAGAAGCACAGTATGTTTTATGTCCCTGGTGAATTACTGGAATTTTTAACCAAAGTTTCTAAATAGTTGGGTAAAACTTTATTGATTCACTCCAAAGAAAGAATTTTCACTGCAAACCCACAGCACAGTCAGTTGCTCACATGCCAACGGCAGCCTGCACAGGAAGCTGTAAATCATAAAGATTCAGACCTTGAACTGTGCCAACATCTGCAAAGAACAGGAAATATTTACCGTTCACTTAATAACCTGACCATGTGGGATCGGTGCTACCAAGTTCTCAAAGAAAATTTCAACTCCTGACATGACACAGCATATTAAGAAATGAAACAGAACCCTAAATGCGCTCAACTGATCATCCTTTCAAGATCCTAAAATGCCAAGCGTTAGTTACTCTGTTAGTTTCTATCATCTCAAGGAAAGAGCTCTTGCTCTCTTGAAAGAACTTGATATTCCAAATCAGGGGCTTTCAGGAAAACTAAAAGGCTTTCTGTCTTTTAGTTTATTTTTCAGATGGAGCCGCTGCTATGAATCTGTATCCAAGGCACAGCATGGAATTTAAGATAAACTACTCTGAAAATCTCAGTACACTTGGAGATCAAGTAGTGATCAGAGAAATGGCACTGAAGGAGAACTAAATTGTAGAAGCAGAAAATGTATTTGACTAAAGAGATTAAGATGAATCTCTCTTTTTTAAAAAGATTTATTTATTTTTATACAAGAGCTGGGGTACAGGCCAGAGGCACAGGAGGGTGAGAGGATTCACCACAGACAGAGCAGGGAGAAGAACAGGCAGGACCGAAATACACTGCTGAGGGGAGCAGTGGGTGATATAGTAGAGGTCTGCCACACCTTGTGGGTATCTCCCTGGCTGGCTGGGAATCGAACCCATGCTGCAGAGGCTGGAGACAGCTTCACAGTGTGGCGCTCAACCCACTGCACCACTGGGGAGGCCCAAGATGAATCTCTCTTGTGTTATGATGAAAACCAGTGAATCAAATTTCTATGAAAGAGATGAGATTTTACATTTTCTCGGACCCAATGTCAAAGTAGCCCCAAATACATGCGCTTTTATAAAAGTAAAAAGGAAAAGAAGGCCACTCACGTCAGAACTGGACTTACCTATTAGTTTCTATTTTCATCCTTCCAAGCTGTACATTCAGTGACCGGTGAGCACTCTGGGAATCGTGGGATACAGTAGAACTGAGCGTGCTCACCCCTGAGGTTGCCACAGCATCTTCAATGACGGGGTGAGGCCTTCGGACAGTTTGATTTGAAGGCCGTTCCTCATGATCCTCTTCTATATCCAAGTCTTCCTGGTCAGCAGTATCACTCTCAGATGCGAGGCTAAAGTGTGGCCTCAGTTCTGTAAAGTGTAATAACCACATTACTGAAATGTGAATGAATGTCTTAATTTCTCTTTTTAAAAAACATTTGTATTATTTATTTATGCATACAAGAGTTGGGGTGTAGGCCAGAAGTGCGGGGTTGGGGAGTAGAGGTGAGAGGATTCACCAGAGACTGAGTGGGGAACAGAACAGGCTGACTGACTAAAATACACTGCTGAGGGGAGCAGACAGCGAGACAGGAGAGGTCTGCTGCGCCATGTGGGTTAGCTCCCTGGCCAGGGATGAACTTGTGCTGCAGTGGCTGGTGATAGCTTCATAGTGCTGAGACTTAACCCCTTGCACCACCAGGGAGGCCCAATCTTAATAGCTTGTCATGAATGTCACCTCCCCTGCTACCAGTTAGATATGTTTCCAAACTGCTTTTCCAAAGATAAGGATGGATTTCCGCGCACTGATTCAAATTTGTACTTTCAATGAAGTACAAAATTCACAAGTTATGTACACTCAGAATGATCTAATGCAAACAGAAGAAAAATGTTCACACTGCACATAAGAAAAATGCTTAAGTCAGAAATTCTGTAAAAACCTGTTAGGTACCTAACATCTATTATATGACAACGCTCATTCAGTATTACTTTTTTATTGATTGTTTTAACACACTATATATGGCACAGGATCACACCTCCTCACATATATCTCACCACACCACATGCACCTCCAAAGCTCCCACTGTCCTCTACCATAGCCCATTGGGCACCCTCCCCATGGTTTTTTCCCAAAGCCTCAATTCTACAGTCAGATTTCTAGGGTTTGGTTTATTGCTGCTTGGGCCAAATATATAGTATTTGTATTTAGAAAGGAAAAAAAAATATGAAAAAAATCCCCACCAAAACCAAAAACCTTACTGTAACAGCAATTTCAGAAAGTACAATTAGAGATTAAATTAGAGAGCCCCCCACCCCCCATATTGGGCTAGGGGTTAAGTCTCAGAGCTATTACCACTATGGCCTAAGTTTGAAACCCAGTTGAGGGAGCTAACCCACCTATGGCATAGCAGACCTCTCCTGTCTTGCCCGCTGCTCCCCTCAGCAGTGTATTTCAGCAAATTTGCCTGTTCTGCTCCCCACTCTGTCTCAGGTGTATCCTCTCACCCCCTGCACCTCAGGCCTACACCCCAGTTCTACCACACAAAATAAATAAATAAATAAATAAATAAATAAGAATATCAGATTTGGCAGCTTAAATTTTTCTAAAATAATCCTTAAATTTCTCTTATGGTCTCTTAGACTGAAATTTTAATAGCAACTTAAAAGTTTTATTGTCCTATTCGTTAGGATCTCACTTTTTTCTTGGGGGGCAGGGGCGGTTCTTATATTTATTCTTTTTTTTTTTTTTAAAGATTTATTTATTTATTTATACAAGCACTGGGTACAGTCAGAAGCGCGGGAGGATGAGAGAATTCACCAGAGCCAGAGGGGAGAGCAGAGCAGGCAGACTGACGAAGTACATTGCTGAGGGGAGCAGCGGGTGGCAGGAGAGGTCTGTGCGCCATGTGGAACCCTCGCCCAGCAGCCGGGGATGGAACCTGCGCTGCAGAGGCTGCAAGCAGCTTTTGCAACCCAGCGTTCAACTGCTGGGCCACCGGGGAGGCCCTATTTATTCTTATACTTAAGTATCCACAAATAGTCCTATAATTCTGTACATTTTAAGTCATTTTTCCTTATATATAAGTGGCCCAATTATTTAAAATAATTTATTATTTTTTTATTTATATATTTTTTACATCATTGTTCATTTTTAAACAATATTTGCTTCCCCCAAACCCCTCAGGTGTAGTCCCCGTAGGGTTTCCTTCACCAAGGCACCCGTGCACCATCACCACAGTCCCCTGTGCTCCTCTCTCCCTCCCTCAGATCCCTCTCCCTTCTCCTCCCCTGCACAATGTCTCTGGTTTATAATTGTCTGTTTGTTTTTGTTTTATTTTGTATCTCAAATAATTTAAGGAAAATAGAAAATTGTGAAAGAATGCAATACTTTCTAATAGTGGCTCCCTGAATACACATCATTCATTACATTAGACATTGTAGGATATTCAAATGAGATGGTCCATCAGGCGCTTGTCCACTAAGAGAGAACAATCTAAAGCAGATATGAGTGAACACACAGAAGAGCCACACCACCATGGCCAAAGGAATATGGAATTATACATAAAAATTCATAGAGCTAAAAGTACCTTAGATGATCTTAGTTACAGACCTAACTCTGTATGTAATTCACATGTACATGCGTTAAGAGTGCTTGGGGTAACATCACAATACTTATCAGTGAAGCAAATGCTACCTGTTGAAGTTACTTGTACAGAACAAAATGGTGGTCCATCTTATATTTTATACAAGACACCTGACTCATTCAGCTTAAAGACTGCTAGTGTTAAAAATAAGACACAGGCCATAATGGAGTCACATATGCTAAACCCTGATCACCAACCAAGACTTAAGTTAATTATAGTCTCAGCCTCTCCCAAAATAGAACCTTAAATGGGTCAATCAGGAATGCTTATCAGCACCAGTTATGTTATCTGCCTGATAGACCCCTGCTGTCCTCTAAAGGAAGGTGACTTGCCATATTTAATCTAATCTTTTGGTAAGTATAATTTCCCTGTTCCTGCTTCCTTCTGACTCAATTGCCTTTCATTTTGTTTTTTAACAGTAGTAATATCTTGTGCTTTAGCAGTTTTAAAATCATTATTAATACTGGACACATCCCTTCATTATCATATCTCTCCAGCTAAGCACTGCCAACATACTCCCTATGCTCAGCATTTCACCATCTGGTCCCCCAGGCCAGATGGACCCTAAGGAGAAACAACAGATACTCAATGTTGCCAATCTTCTAAAGGCTGATTCTTGATGACTCAGAAAATAGCCTGAGGGAAAAAAAACTCTCAAGGGGTGTGCACTGTACTCTTTGTTCTGTGTGCTCTTTTTTTTTTGAAGAAAGTAGATGGAACACTTCTTTATTTTTTACTTTGAAATGATTTTAGAATAACAGAAAAGTTGCAGTAAGTAGTACAGAGACTTCTTACATATGGGGCCTCCCTGGTGGCGCAAGGGGTTAAGATGCAACCTATGATGCTATTGGCAGCCACTGCAGCACTAATCTGATCCCTGCCCAGGGAGCTACCCACATGGCACAGCAGACCTCTCCTGTCTCGCCCGCTGCTCCCCTCAGCAGTGCATTTCAGTCAATCTGCCTGTTCTGTTCCCCACTCTGTCTCTGGTGAATTCTCTCACCCCGCCACACCCCAGCCTGTACCCCAGCTCTTGAATGCATAAATAAATAAATCTTCAAAAAAAAAAAAAAAGAGAGCTCTCATATGCCCTTCAGCAGCTTACCTTAAACTTAACATCTTATATCACCTTAACATCATTTCCCTCCAAAATAGGAAATGAATATTGAGACCATCCTTTGAACTGACCTACAGACCTTACTTGAATTTTACCCATTTCCCCCTGATGTCCTTTTTCTGAGCCAGGGCATCATATTATATTATATTTGTGTCATTTCTAATTTCTCCTTGAGTCTTTTTCAATTTGGTGGTTCCCTAGTAATTTCTTTCTCTCTAATAATATATATATTTTTTTCTAGTTCATTTTTTTCTAGTTCATCCCCGGCTGCCGGGGATCGAACTGGCGCTGCAGAGGCTGCGGGCAGCTTCGCAACCCAGTGCTCAACTGCTGCGCCACCGGGGAGGCCCCCTCTCTAGAATTTTTTTCTCAATTATACAAAATTTCAACCCCAATTTGTGATGATCAAGTGGATCTTACTTACTTATTGTTTCAACCAGTATTTATTTATCAGGTACTGTGTGGACAATGTGGATGGCACAGGAAACTAAAACAGATAGTCACCCTCTGGTGAGAGAACCAACTATCAGACAAGTAAATAAGTGGTTCTGGATTGTGGCCAGTGTCACAAATGTGGAAAAATCCTACTTTCAACTTCATGGTGGGTCAGAACTCTCTGAGGGGATGTCATGTAAAGTGATACCTGAAGAATGCCAAGGTACGAGAAAGCAAAAGTCTGTGACCATGGGATGTGGGTGAGGGTGTGCCTCTTGTAGAGAAAGCAGGATGTCCAGGGATGGTAGGATATCTACTTATATTTCTTTCTTACAGAAGAAAGAAATCAACCTTCACTGATGCTCAATATAAAGATTGGCACTGAATCACCACTTACCCATCAGACAAGGTATTCTGACAGGAAGGAGGGAGGGCTTTTCACAGCCTGGAAGGCTTGATGGTGATTTACAAGTTTGAGATACCTTTATAAATAACCTAAATTGTGTAACACTTCATATTTATCTCTTAAAATTTCTATTTTAAAATGCTTTACTCGGGCCTCCCTGGTGGCACAAGGGGTTAATAAGCACAGCACTGTGAAGCTATCCACAAGCCTCTGCAGTACAAGTTCGATCCCCTGCAAGGGAGAGAGCTACCCTCATGGCACAACAGACTTCTCCTGTCTCTCCTGCTGCTCCCCTCAGCAGTGTATTTCAGTCAGTCTGCCTGTTCTGCTCCCCACTCTGTCTCTAGTGAATCTTCTCACTCCCCACACCTCTGGCCTGTACCCCAGTTCTTGTATGCATAAATAAATAAATATCAAAAATCATGTACAAATTAGTATACAGGGGCCTCCCTGGTGGCACAAGGGGTTAAGTCTTAGCACTATGAAGCTATCTGTAGCCACTGCAGCATGAGTTTGATCCCCGGCCAGGGAGGTGGCCCACATGGAGCAGCAGACCTCTCCTGTCTCATGTGCTGCTCCCCTCAGCAGTGTATTTCAGTCAATCTGCCTATTCAGCACCCCCTGCTCTGACTCTGGTGGGTCCTTTCATCCCTCCCCCCCATATCTCTGCCCTGTACCCAAGCTCTTGTATGCATAAATAAATAAATCTTTTAAAAAATTAGTATACAGAACATATCTCTTTGTACCTCACTGCAAGCATAGCTGGGACCTGCCTAGACCAGTGACTTCCAAACCTGGCTATGTGTCAAAATGACCTGGGAACTGGATTAAAGTCAGATTTCTGGGCTTTTTCCCCAGCGGTCTCTTACTCACTCAGTCTGGGATGGGGCTCTGAGAACTGTAATTTTAAATAGCTCCCTACATGACTCAATGTACTGGTAGGCTTGGGAATGGCCAACAAAAGACAACACAGCAACCTGTTTGGTGGACACAGATAAAGCTACATATAGAAATGCACAGGTATTGGGGTGACTTGTATAGTTTTCTATTTCTCTTCATATCCAAATAAGCTTTTTAAAGACAAGAAAGCAAGGCTTCCTTATTTGTTTCATAGTCAACATTTCACTTGTGTACTATGCTCAGACTGTATGCACTAGATAAATGTTATTTGTTGACTCTGAAAGATAAAGAAAAGGCTAAGCTAGTCTGAAAAGGAGAAAATACCATAAATGATAGATGAACAGTAATCTAAAATATCAAACACAAAGTAATTAATATTTCTGACCTGGAACCAAAATGGTAATGGCTGTCTGTACCGCCTTTCGGATGATACTGTCTAAAGCAAACATCCAGTGTGGCTTGATGTTATGATTCCGAAGAACTTTGTTGACCTGGAGAAAGAGAGTGACATTTAGCCTACTTATATTTTTAGTTGCAAATCATAGTTAATGCACACATTTAGATGGTATTCTGTCAACAAAAATAACTAAAATGTTTATTCACTTTCATTTGTGAATCATTTTTTTATGTCATCAGAATACAAATGAAAAATTGCCAATTTCATGGGCCTCCCCGGTGGCGCAGCAGTTGAGCGCTGGGTAGCGAAGCTGTCCGTGGCCTCTGCGGTGCCGGTTCGATCCCCGGCTGCTCCCCGGCCACCGGAGGAGGGTCCCACATGGCGCGCAGACCTCTCCTGCCGCCCGCTGCTCCCCTCAGCAGTGTACTTCGGTCCTTCTGCCTGCTCTGCTCCCTGCTCTGACTCTGGTGAATTCTCTCACCCTCCCGCGCTTCTGACTGTACCCAGTGCATGTATAAACAAAACAAAACAAAACAAAACAAACAAACAAATAAAAACATGCCTCTATTAAAAAAAAAAAAGAAAAGAAAGAAAAATTGCCAATTTCAAATTAAAGCTTCGTGATCTCCAAGTAAGCAAAGAAGGTAAGTAATCCAAACAAAGGCAGTCTGGTTAAAAGGGACTGTTGCTTCTTTGAGATTCAGAGCTTGTAGCTTCCATCCTACTTTCATGACATATGCAGATTGGATGGTGGAGGAGATAAAGGAGGAAAAAAGAGTCTAAGAGGCTTGAAATAAAAATAAATGCTGTTCTTAAATGTTATCATTCTGCCATTTAACACAGTCAAGCTTCAGCACTCCCTGGTGACTTGGAAAAACTGGTAAAGGGGGGAATTAGCATTTATGTGCAATCTATAAGTTTGCAACAATTCATGCCTTGCTTTCCTTCCCACAGTTGCTTATATCTCTGTAAACAGGGGAATCACCTGCTAAAAATTCCAGAAAAGCTATTCAGATTAAAAATCTTTGTTGTAGGGGCTCCTTGGTGATGCAGGGGTTAAAGTCTCAGCGTTATCAAGCTATTGCCAGCCACTGCAGCATGAGTTAGATCCCCTGCCAGGGAGCTAACCCTCATGGTAAGGCAGACCTCTCTTGTCTCCCTGCTGCTCCCCTCAGCAGTGGATTTCAGTAGATTTGCCTGTTTGCTCCCCACTCTGTCTCTGATGAATCTTCTTGCCCCTCCCACCTCTGGTCTATACCTCGGTTCTTACATGCATAAATAATTAAAAATAAATCCTTAAAAATTTTTTTTGTTCTAAGGTTATCTTTTTTAGTGATTAGTAATATTTCACACATTTAAACAGGTACTAAACCAGATGTATGCATTACCTTTCTTTTTTTTAATTGCAGTATAATACATGTAACACAAAATTTATCACCTTAACTGTTCTTCAGTGTACAATTCCATTCTTAAGTTCATCACATTGCTGTGCTACCATCACCACCATCATCTCTAGAAATCTTTTCATCTTATAAAATGGAAAGCTTTATATACCTTAAACAATAATCCCACTGGCTTCCCCCCACCCCTTCGGCAATCACCATTCTACCTCCTATCTATGATTGTGACAACTCTAGGTACCACACATAAGTACAGTCAATGGCTTTTGTCTTTTTTTGTGATTGGCTCATTTCATTAAACATAATGTGTCAGAACTTTCTTATTTAAGGGTGAATAATATTCCATTGTATATAAAAGATATGAATATTACCTTTTTTAAATAACTCTACCATAATGCCAAAAAAAGCTTACTAAAAATTTGAGCTGGTTGATACAAGGCAATTTTCCAACAGAGCCCTGGTTAGAGGCTTTAGTGAAAGCTGGGGAGACAGTAGCTAGCTGCTATCCTAAACTAATGCTGAAGTTAGTTGTTTATTTCTGCCCTTGTTTCATCTTCATCAAAATTCCCTAGTACAGAAGGGAACTGGTCTGTGGAATTCCTCATAGTAGTTTCTTTTTTTTTTTAGAAGATTTATTTATGCATGCATACAAGAGCTGGGGTGTAGGCCAGAGGATTCACCAGAGACAGAGTGGGGAGCAGAACAAGTGGATTTACTGAAATACACTGTTTGAGGGGAGCAGCGGGTGAGACAGGAGAGGTCTGTTGCTCCACGTGGGCCACCTCCCTGGCCGGGGATCAAACTCATGCTGCAGTGGCTATGTATAGTTTCATAGTGCTAAGACTTGACCCCTTGTGCCATCAGGGAGGCCCTCCTCATAGCAGTTTCTTCCAAGGAAGTGAATCACTACCAGGTTCCCACTTATTCAAGGAAACTCTTTAACAATGAGTTTGTCCAGGTACTTTCATTTCTTAAAGGATTTACCTGCTTATTTGACTAATGTGGGACATGTGGCATTTAGTTAACTAGATTATTTCTCTCAAGAGTCACACAAGGGGCAGTGGTTGAGCGCTGGATTGCAAAGCTGCCTGCAGCCTCTGCAGCGCTGGTTCGATCCCCGGCTGCTTCCCGGTCACCAGAGGAGGGTCCCACATGGCGCCCGCTGCTCCCCTCAGCAATGTACTTCGGTCCTTCTGCCTGCTCTGCTCCCCGCTCTGGCTCTGGTTAATCCTCTTACCCTCCCGTGCTTCTGACTGTACCCAGTGCTTATATAAATAAATCTTTAAAAAAAAAAAAAAGAGTCACACAAGAAGATGGAAGAGAGATCCTCTCTACTATGATCCATTCAAGCCCTTCATTAAACAGCAAATAAAGAACCCATCCTTTGGGTCCATTCCTAACCTGGACAGTGAGTGAACATGGGTGAGCACATGAGTGCATGTGTGTGTTAAAGAGACACAGACACAGACATCTGGGCCCAAGGTGCAGGATGACAACTAAGCTGTTCTCAGTCTGAATTCTACAGGCCAATTTGCTTCCCAATCTGCAGGCTGGAAACCAGATATGTGGGCAAGCACAAATTCAACAAATTATTTCATTTCATTTGCAGATGATTAGGTTTCCCTAGTTGCAGTTTAAGTGTGCCTTTAACATGTAATACTTGAGATAGGCTTTGACAATTGCTTTTCATTTCCAGACCTCAATCAAGTCAAGAGTGCTGTCCGCGGCCATGATAGCACAAAGACCAAGTGGCTTATAAAGAATCTCAGAAAACATCAGAAACTGGCAAAGGATTTTAATTTGGTTTTAAATCAGGGATCATTTGATGTGCCAAATACAATTGTCAATATATCGCCTATGTAGAACAATAAATACATTATATGCATATTTTAAAATTTAAATAAAATTATGTACAGTACTTCTACATTAACATCATAGGCACTCAAAACTCTTATTTTAATCCCCCACAGCTTGTAAGAGCCTGCTGGGAGTGGCTTAGGGCTGTTTTTGGGTTTTTGTTGTGGTTTTTTTTTTTTTGGTACGAAGTTCCATAGATAAGTTAATTCAAGAATAACACATATGGTTTAGACTCATTCTTTTGGAAAGTTCACCTGTAGTTTGTGTTGCATAGCAACTTAGTTTGAGAGAGAAGAATCCTAGCAATTGTGAGATCATGTGGAGTGATTTTCATTCAGAGATGTCCTGTACAGTAAAGTACATTGGTGGTTAGGGAATAGTGGGCATTTATTAAACAAACATGTTTAAAATGTTCTGTATGGAAACCAGAGAAAACCTGAATGCAAGAGTCCACTGATTTCATCAGGCAGCGACCATTCCAGTCTGTACTGTTAACATTTTTCTCAATGACCACTAGATGGCATTTCTCATATAGAATTAGAAAGTACATGACTAAAGCATATTCTGTTGCTAAACTCATCAAAGTAAGTAAAGACCCACTATAGGATTTCATAAGAATAAAGTTCAGCTATGGGAGATGTCTGTGAGTTTTGCTATTTTCCAGTTTTCAATTTTATGCATATAAAACTTTGGGGGAATGCCGTCACACAAAACAAAGCTGATCCTCAGACTATTTCACATTTGTCAATCATCAAAAGAGAACAGAATTCATCAGAATGATTAAAGAGAGGAAAACAGAACATTGGTGTAATCTCATTTTTCTGTTTAATTTAGCTGGAGTTTATGGGAAAACACTGGCAAAATATCATACTTACAGCATCTTGAAAACCAAAGAGCACCACTTGCACTTGGCTTATGCCATGGCTGTCGAAGTCCAGCTCCAGCTTCAGCTTAGAGAGTGTGGTGGCTATGATTTTCCGGTCAGTGGATCTCACAAATTCTCTGAGGCTTGCGACAAGGGTTGTGATATGCTCCCATTTTAGTTTAGGTTCTTCAGCTCCCTGTGAATGAAAACAAGCAACCTGTCAGTTGATCTGTGTTAAACAGTCTGCCATTCCCATAGCCCTTGATGAGAAGAACTGGACTTCAAAGTGTCCCCTATAGTTCATATTTGAACTATATGGCTCTTCTTCCCACAAAGAAACATTGGCCAATATCCATAATATAGTCAGATATACACAGCTTTGCCAAAATGGGGTCAGCTGAGGCAATATGATTCCTGTTCACAGAAATGTTAACTGGGAACTAAAGAGAGATTCATGCAATTAGCCAAAGGAACTCAATTTTGAAGTCTGGCCAGAGAAAAGAGTCATAAAATAAAGGCAAGAGCACATTAGTTGCAAAGAAGGCAGCAGAAGCAATGAAACTGGGAACAATAATCAGTGGGGTGAGAAGCAGATAGAAAAGGGAGACCGTCAATAAGTGGGCAGGAGTGCCAACACTTGGAACTGGAAGTCACTCCAGTTTCTCTCAGCTAGGCACTATGGCCAGAGACCCTCATGGCTGTGTGTGTTTACCTACAGCAGATTTGGGTCACCACCCAGGAAAGACACAATCTTGAATGCCAGATTCCCCAAGGTAAAGTCCCCAATAGCTAAAAATCCCAAAAGCCAAATATCCAGAAGATCACTATCAAGAAAGACTGAAATCGCGAATGTTGAAAGCTTGAAAGGCCCCATCCTCACTGAGGGAAAAAGGTCATCTAAGGGGGGCAGAGAGCCCAGTTGGCCAGTGGCTGCTCTGGTTGTTCAGGGGAGAGGTCTGTTAAATTGTTCCTCAGAAAAGCCCCAAGGAGTTGGGTGGACATGGCGACATCCCAGTGAAAGTGGAGAGTGGAGCGGCCCCTTCTCGTGGGTGTTAACATGATGGATGTGGCTGCTCGGTTGCCAGTACCAAAGCATCGCGGGACTTTTCAGCAAACTGCATACAAGATCTGAATAGCAAGCTGTCTCTAAATGTAAGTGCAGTGAGTCCATGTTCTCAGATGTCTCTCTCAGACACCATGCCCTTCTTCCAAAGGTCAAGAAATGTCCCTGAAAGAGTTTGGAGGTATTCCCTTCTCCAGGATTTTCTTTTTGAGATTTTAGTCTCTCAGAATTGTGATCTCTGGGATTTATAACTTTCAGGATTTCTACTTCTGGATTCTGGAGTTCCAGATCATCCTTCCGCATTATGATCAGCACTGTCTACAACCGTTGTCCCCAGTACTTCAACTGCCCTGCACTGTCAGCTCCTAGCAACCAAAGGGGCTGACTTCTGACTCCATCCTTCAAACCATTCCTTATTCACCAAGAAGCAATGTGTCTTAGAAATTGATCAATTGGCAATATATTTTACATAAAAAGTAATACAATATTTAAACAAAATAATATTTAAATAAAATACAATATTTAAATTATATTAAATAATATACAATATTTAAATTCCCTCTCTCGAATCCCCCCATCTCCCCCGCTTTGAGCAAGGAGTGATACTTCCTTAAAGGAAACATAGTTGGGTTATTTATGTTCATTTTCCTTCAAGAAACAACATCATTTTTATTATGCTCATTTCTGTCATATTGCCCATCTTGTTACTGAATCATTAGCATTAAATTCCTCAACTGAGCTGTGAAAATGATAACTTCTAGGATTCTATTAAAATTAAAGAGCAATGCGCCATCAAGCTCCTTCTCTACTCTCACTTGGGAGCTCCTTCTCATGTTTATGTTTTCATGAGAAAAGAAGATATTGAAAAGCTTAAAAGCTGTCATTAAGGGAGTATTTTAAAATCAAATTGGGAACAATTATAAACTTTGTTTCTTTTTGTACCATGAACTTAATTATACCCAAAGTAAAGCTTCACAGGCAATATCGTAGTAACATGAAAATATGTTCAAAAAGAAAAATGTGAGTTATTCAGTATTTGGAAGCTCATCTTAGAGAAAATTCAGTGACATGTTTGCCAGCAGTTTAAATAGCAAACTTTTTTTTTTTGACATTAGCTTTGTTTTCACAACAGAAAAACATGTTGCTTCTGGTTTTTTGATGTGTGTGCCACTGTCTTATAAAGGAACACTGTCTGCTCTGGGAAATGTTTTCTCTCTAGGGTATCTCCTCCACTTACATAATCGATATTTCTGTTCTAACTCCTGTACCCATGTGCACTTGATGAGGTGCCTTCATAAATGAATATCTCAGGTATCAGTTTAGCCTAATTCCTTGTCAGGAGACAGCACCTGACAGGCCTTTCCTAAGCACAGCTGTCATCATCACAGATTCTTCTGCACAGGTGCTCTCTCTTATTTGTTAGACTTCCTTGAAACGATGAGTGGATTTCAGAAGGAGGTTAAAGACTGAAAACGTTTTTGTGGGTTGGTTTGAGGATCTGATCAAACGTAAGTTTCGGTTTCCTTATAAAGGGTAGGTTTACATGTAAAATCCACCTAGAAAATGTTTGATACAATGAAAAGAATTCTATCTGGTTGCAGGAAAATTAAAGATATTAGATGACTATTGTTTGCCTGCTTGGTAATGGTAGCAACAGCAATAATACAGTTGAGATTTGTGGAACATGTAGGGCAAATGAATTAATCGGGCTTTTTACACTACTAGCTTCTGTGGCTATCACCTGTGGCTTTGATCATGTCAATGCAGAAATCATTTGGGAATGTGGGTGTGGGGCACATGTCCCTGATTGTGGACACCTGGAGTGTAGGTGTGCACGCATGAGCAAGTGTGACACCTAAGCCTTAAAGGCCAGGGATATAAGGCAGCGTCATTCAGGACAGTGGCTACGAGAGGGTGAGCGGTGTGATGCCAGAAGAGACTAGACAATGCGAAAGAGAGGATGTCAGACAGCCCAGGGAAAGAACATAAAGATTCATGGGGGGCTTAGGGGGTTGGCTGCCTACCTGCCTCCCAGCCTGGCTCATGCGCCTCCTTGCATGCCAGCCTCCCTGCCTGGTGTACCTGGTTCCTTGAGAGAGCATTAAAGGCTAAAATATGCACCAAGGGTTCCACGACTCTCCTTTATTCATCTGCCCAAATCAATAGTGAACCTGCCTGTGCCTACTGGCACGAGAAACACTTCTATTATTATTTTGATTGCTCACCATCTTAGTTACACCTTACTGCAAGTCTATGAGGTAGATACTATCATTTCCTCTATTCCATAGATTAGGAAATTCAACCTCAGAGAAGTGAAATAACTTGCTCAAATACATGATGTAACTATAGCTCATATAGAGACAAAATGAAGCTGAGAGCTAGCTCCTAATTATTGTATTCTATTGCCACAGTCAGCTGGAAGAGGCATCAGCAAGCTGGGGTCCCCCACTTGCTCACCATGATGTCAGGGGGAAGGACTCAGCATCCTCAGTACTATAGTCAGAAGGACCTTTGCTCTCATTTGACAGTTCTGGGTTTAGCATGTGATTCTGACCAGCAGTTTCAGGTCCTCACTGGTCACTTCATGCTGGTTCACTCAGGCATGCCCTCTGAAGGTTGCTTTTTAGCTTTTCTTTCATTTTTCCTTTTAGAGAACATTCAAGTATGTGTCAAAACCCAGAAAGTCACAAATGATTGACTTGAATGTATTTTTATATTCAACTCCAAAATTTAAAACTCTTAGCACAGCTAGAGAAGTGAATTCAAACTCTTGCTAGGCTCTGTTGTAAGTGCTGGCAACAATCTGAAACTCTGGCAATGGCCAAGGCAGTCCCTGCCCCAGTGGGCCTATGTTCAAGGGGGAGACAAAGAAAAACTCCCTATAGACAGACATTTTCTGCACTGGACAAGATGATTTTGCAGCTGATCATCAGGTTGAGGAAATCCCTGCATTCTATGTGTTTCTGACCTAAAAAGGGCCCATTTCACACCAGTGGCCATGGAGTAGTCTTCCCTCCATGAGGCTAATGGTGATTTTCTTTCCTTCCTCATACCTACCTCTACCCCTTATAAGCACTGGCAACATTCTGACTGCATGGCCTTAGGAAGTTTCTTACCTCTTCTCTGCCTCAGAATCATCTGCAAAATGAGGAAATGAATAGAACTACTGGGATGTCAGAGAAGTCATGATGTATTTTTTCTGTTTTTCCGACATCCCAATATTTACTAAAGTACTACTGTCGGGCCTCCCTGGTGGCACAAGTGGTTAAGCACAGCTCTGTGAAGCTATCCCGCAGCCTCTGCAGCACGAATCCGATCCCCAGCCTTCCAGGGAGCAACCCACACGGCATAGGAGACCTCTCCTGCCTCGACCACGGCTCCTCTCCGCAGTGTATTTCAGTCAATCCACCTGTTCTGCTCCCCACTCTGTCTCTGAAGAATCCTCTCACCCCTCGCACCTCTGGCCTGTACCCAAGTTCTTGCATGTATAAATTAAAAAAAATCTTTAAAAAAAAATAAAGTACTACTGTCATAGAATTAAATGAATTAAGACTCTACCTGGCCCCTAGACATTGTTTGCTATAATTGCTATTATTAGTCCAGCATATTGCATGTTACTGTATGTTATATCTATTTTTATTATCTTTTGTTATGTATTTAACTTTATATTTACTAATTATTTTTGTATTTTCTTTTCCCATTTAGAAGCCAGCACCATGAGTGAAGAATTTTTTCAGTTTTGTTCACTGTAGTAACTGAAGCACATAGAAGAGAGCTGGGCATTTAGTACACACCCAACAAATATCTGCAGAATGAATGCATGAACTCCAATTGCTACCCAGTTGCTCCTTCCATCTAAACTTGGTTCCTCTTGCCATCTGAGTCACGGTCCTTGAATGGCCACAGAGAGTAGAAGGAAAGGCAAGAGACAAAGCTACAGGTTCAAGACAGCTCCAATCACCTCTACCTTTCCTGCCATTCCTGCCAGCATCCTCAGTGCTCATCCTTCTTCCTAACTCAGCAGCCTGGGAGCATCTCATCCCTGAGCATTTCCTTCCTAGGCCTGAGAGCAGCTGCTTGAGACAACTTTCCATTGGCAGACAAGTCAGAGTTTTCCCAGAATGCATAGATGGGAGCTCATTTAAGTCCTTTCATCCAGAGACTCTATTGGCACACAGCTCCTTGTACGGGCTCCAATAAAACTAAGAAGGCCTAGGTGATGGAATCAGCAGAGAGGCTTAGTGAGATTCTTAAATCAGATAGGCGGGATTGCACAGCAGAAGCCAAAGAAGAGAAGCTTTGTTCCCTTTGCATCCCAATAAAAGCCAAGAACAGTAAACTGCTGGACTAAGAGACGAAAACCTCAACCTGACCCCTCCAGCTCCACCCTTTCTGCAGCTGTTTTCCCAGGACAGAAGGGAGAAAGGAAGATAGATGCGGTCCACTGTGCTCATGAAGGACAGGTGGTGACCACAGGAGCGGAAGCAAGTAAACCAGTCCTTGATGCCCAGGGAGCTAAAAGAGACTCGGGAGTCATGCTGGGACAAGGCATGTCTGCAGAGAGACATGCCCATTAGAGCCTCTGCTCCAGCCCATGGCTTAGCGCTGGGAAACCTGATGCGGATTTGGGGAAAGGAATGTGTTGTCCCCATCCCAACATTCACATGTTGAAGCCCTGAGCTCCAGTGTGACTGCTTAGGAAACACGGTCTTTAGTAAGAGGCAACGAAGGTTAAATGAGGTCATAAGGGTTCAGCCCTAGTCAATAGGACTAGTGTCTTCAGAAGATGAAGGGCAGCGCAGAGGGAAAAAGGCCGATGAGGAACAGGGAGAGGAGGTCATCTGCAAGCCAAGGAGAGAGGTCTTGGGAGAAATCCATTCTGCTAACACCTTAATCTCAGACTACCAGCTTCTAGAATTTTAAGAATTAAATTCCTGTTGTTTAAGCAACGCAGTCTGTGGTTACTGTTATGGCAGCCCTACCAAATGAAAACACCAGAGAACAATAGTTTGACCAGCTTTGTTTTTTCCTAGCACATATGGCCTGCTATCACACTGCATAATTTACTTAGTGTTACTCATCACTGCCTTCCTGAGTATAACCCCACAAACACAGGGGTCTCTGTTGTATTTGTGATGCTTCCCAAATGCTCAGAGGTCCCCAGCAGATAGCCTCTTGCTAATGCTGCAGTCAGCTATTCACATGGCTCAATGGGTATCTATTGATTGAGTGAATAAATGAATAAAGGCTTGAAGGAACAAAGCAATGAAAATGAAAGTTTTGCCCTGCCTTAAAAATAGATTATGGGACTCCCTGGTGGTGCAAGGGGTTAAGCTTCAGCACTATGAAGCTTCATGCAGCCGCTGTAGCACGAGTTCAATCTCCGGCCAGAGAGCTAACCTACATGGCACAGCAGACCTCTCCTGTCTTGCCCGCTGCTCCCCTTAGCAGAGTATTTCAATAGATGCGCCTGTTCTGCTGCCCACCTGTCTCTGATGAATCCTCTCACCCCCCCACACCTCTAGCCTGTACCCTAGTTCTTGTATGCATAAACACATCTTTTAAAAAATTAAAAAATATAGATTATGTACAAAATTGCAGTTTATGTGTTTTTTTTCCACTCTAAGGTCAATTTTTTTTTTTTTTTTGTGATAATTCCAAGTGGTTATGACACAGTTAAATATGTCAACTCTGGGAAATAAAGTATCCACGAGAGGTTTTACCTGAACCAAAGATTCCATCAAGTTTCTCACGACTTTGTCTTGATCTTCCGTCAGGATCCTGTGAAGGGTGGCCCGCCTTTCACTGTCTTTTCTCAGCATAAAGAATCCAGAATCTTTTTCTTCAGGGGAAGGGGGGGCGCTGTGATCCTCAAAATTTTCATCTGGGATGCTGTAAGAATTTATTTGACACAAGTCACAATTTCCTTTATAAAATGACACACAATCTACAACAGACCTTGAATAATGTGGGTTTGAACAGATTGGACCCATTTATACAAGGATTTGCTTGTAAACAGACAATAGTGGTAATGGTATTAATAAATACAGTACTATAAATATATTTTCTCTTCCTTGTGATTTTCATAACATGTTAGCTTCATGGTAAGAATACAGTCTACAGTGCATGTAACAAACTATAATAAATATATGTCACTTGACTATGTCATTAGCAAGGCTTCCAGCCAACAGGCTATTAGTAGTAGTTAAGTTTTGGGGAGAGTCAAAGTTACAGGCAGATTTTCCACTATGCAGGGGTGTCAGCACCCCTACCCACCACATTCAAAAGTCCAATGTACTTTTTTCATCCAGAGTAAGTCAGGTCTTTACCCCAAAAAAAGTGTCCGTATTCCTTTGACATCTTTTTCTCCACAGGATTTTGCTCTTGTCTTGAAAGAGAAGGGGTCCACCTTTAACTCTGTGTCAGGAGAAACTGAGCCATACTCGCTGCTGCTGCTGGTGTCCTCCACAAGGACAGGCACCGGCAAGGAAATGCTCCTCAGATATTCTGCTTGTCGGGAGAGGGGGAAAGACAAAGAGTGCTTTTAAAAAGTACATATACTGAAACATCTACGAAGAGAGAGAAATGCCACATGCTGAATTCCTCATTTCATTGGGTAACAAAGGCGGAGGCTGGTTATGGGATTAGGATTGCTCCTGGACAGGAGGGCAGCCAAGAAAGGGTCTCCCAGCCCTAGAGGAAATCTCTCAGGCTGTGCAACAGTAGAGGGAGGCACGGGCTCCTGCAGACCCTGATTTCTAATCCTTCATTTTTATTGACTCTGGATAGGCCATTTTATGGGTCTCAGTTCCTATCGCTACAAAATAATCAGATTAATAATTTTTTTTTTTAATACTACTCAGCTGTTTATTTATTTTTTTTTTTATAGAGGCATGCTTTATTTATTTATTTATTTGTTTGTTTTGTTTATACATGCACTGGGTACAGTCAGAAGCGCGGGAGGGTGAGAGAATTCACCAGAGCCAGAGCGGGGAGCAGAGCAGGCAGAAGGAGCAAAGTACACTGCTGAGGGGAGCAGCGGGCGGCAGGAGAGGTCTGCGCGCCATGTGGGACCCTCCTCCAGTGGCCGGGGAGCAGCCGGGGATCGAACCGGCGCCACAGAGGCTGCGGGCAGCTTCGCAACCCAGTGCTCAACCACTGCGCCACCGGGGAGGCCCCTCAGATTAATAATTTTTAAGTTATGAGGCGTAAGCCCACTGACAGGATTAAAGCAAGTAAAAATGTGTCTCTGGGCCAAAAGCCACTGAAAAGTTGATTAAATTGAGAGAAGTGTTTGTTGGATTTGACTGAATGGATTTTATAAGTGGCCCTGACAGAGCAGAGTCAGTGATCAATGACACTAGTCACAATCGAGGGTAAGTTTGGGGAATAAAGCGGTTGAGAAGATCTAGAGATATCGTATTTCAAGGCCTGAAGACATGATGGAAAGAATAAAATCTGGAGCCTTAGCCAACAAAGTTAACACTTAGTATCAGAGGACAGATTACTTTATGATGGACAATGCTAGAGCCTGTTCTATGGGAATTGTCTGGAGAAGATGAAGCTGAAAAATTCTTAGGAGTATGGGATCCTGAAACCAAGTGGGGATTGGCCTTGTATAGAAAAACAAATGCCTTCCCCATTGTAAGGGTGGGAAGAGGGAGAAAAAGAGTATTAAGGCAGGTAGGTTCATACATTCTTGGTAGAAATATGTTCAAATCTACTCCCTAATTAGCTTCTCAGATGATTAAAGATTCCAAGTTAAATGAGAAAGTATATAACTTGTATTCATTTGGGAGTGTAAGACCAGGTCATAATTCATAATTCTAATTAATAGAAGGCATTGGAGTTCCCTGCACCAAAGAACAATCTTAAGTGGGATTTTAACTGCTAATTAGGTTGCCATATCTGTCTTGCCTTCCTGGGACAGGGAGGGTGGGCAGAGGGAAGTGTTCATCAGTCACAATATCCATGCAATGAAATCCCTTCAGTTGAAGTCTGAACAGTTCAGTCATGCAGGGAGTTGGGGTTTATCATTCTTTCTAGGCCCAAGTTAATGTCTCTGGTCAGGAGGACAGAGCAGGGAGGGTTGGGTCACTGGAGGGATTTCTAAGTGAGGAAGAAGAGAAGGGGCCTTAAGGAAAAGAAAGAACCTTATGACTGGTTTATAATTCCAAACAAGCCTCTGGGCCTAAATGGGCAGAAGCAAGAAGAGCAGACCAAAAACAATAGATAATAACTACCTTAGGAAGGCTGTTGTGCTAAACATCTCACCTACACAACTATGTTCAATCGTCACCACAACCCCATGAGCAGCCCGTGAACTCTCCAGACACGAGATGCCTGAGGGAAGCCATTTTCGAGGTTACCCAGCTAACAAGTGAACTTGCCTCTAATCCCAATCAATACCCATCCTCTTACTTCTGACTCTATATACATTCTTTTTTTTTTTTTTTTAAGATTTTATTTATTTATACAAGAGCTGGGGTATAGGCCAGATGTGTGGGAGCGTGAGCGAATCCACCAGAGACAGAGCAGGGAGCAGAACAGGCAGAAGGACCGAAATACACTGCTGAGGGGAGCAGCGGGAGAGACAGGAGAGGTCTGCCCCGCCATGTGGGTATCTCCCTGGCCAGCCTGGAATTGAACCCATGCTGCAGAGGCTGCGGACAGCTACACAGCACTGCGCTCAACCCACTGCACCACCGGCGAGGCCCTCTATATACATTCTTAAGAGTCTATAATATCTCAAGTGAAGTTAGCCCCTAAAGACAGAGCCGAATGCAAGACGGCTCTGAGGCCAGAGGGTAAGAGGGCACGTGGGAAATATGGCTAAGCCCGAGTTCAGCAGATTTATACTTCCATGTGATGCTCATGCTAAGGCACAGGTTCCCTGAGAAGACTTGTGGTCACAACGGTTGGCTTCAATTCTGTCTCCCTCTCCTGCCAAGTGAGTGTAGTTGAGTTCACATAATTTAAATGTGTGTATGATGGGAATTTATTCCTTCAATAAAAACAGCCCATGTGGAAGGGATAAAACCATCATGGATTGAGTTTCTTCTGGGCATGTTGCCAGCCTCTTTCCGTATGTATTTTTTAATTTTCTTCCGAGAACCAAATCTGTTAAGTAGGTATTATTAGCTGCACAGAAAGTCGTATGAAACAAGTAGATGAATGCATGTCACATATTTAGAAAGTGGGTGGGGATCAGAAGCAACGTCTACATAGTTCCTCTTTATGAAATGAGCAATAGGCTGGTCAGAGGGACCGGGAAGCACCCCAAGATCTACCCCATGAAGGCAATGATGCCATCCAGAGTTTACGCTGCCTGTGAAAAAGGAGGGAAGGGAGGGCCTCCCCTCTCCTCAGTGTTTCCCCTAACTTTCAGAATTGAAGAAGAAAAATTGGAGAGATTGTAGCCAAGAAGCTCCAACTACAGGGTCTCTACTCTGGGGTAACTGGCTTTTAAGCAACTCAAAACAAACAAACAACCCAAACCCCTGGCAGGTGGAACAACACACATTAAATTCACTATTAACATTAAGCCTCCTGCACTATTTGATTAACTCATCCCACTTAGGAAGATCCCAAACCATGCTCATTTCTTTGATAGTCTCTGAAATACTTTAATTGATCTTCCAGGACAAATTGATCTTTCCTGTTATGACCTGCCAAGAATAACATCAAAGGACAGACAGGCAGCTACTCCTGGAGGACGAACTCTACCAGAGAGAACCAAAGACGACAGGGGAAGGTTGTCTGGTGATGAAATTTTCTGCAATAAATCCATTTAGCAGGTCAGGGGATCCTGCTTAAGAAAGCATGGACTCCACTCAAAGTGAAGATTTGAACAACACAGTCACATGTTTCTTTAGGGAAACACAACTTAAGCCTCCCATATGAAAGAGAAAGGCAAGGTATGTCACATAAAACAGCTGAGCCAGGTTTGAAGTTATGCACATCCCAGATACCAGAGGCCCCCATGTGAGAAAGCTGGGGAGGAAGAGGAGAGGCTGCTTGGTGGGAAATCTAGAGCATATCACATGATACACCAAGCTTCAGCTCAATGGGCAAAATAAAAACAAACTCACCATTCGATCCAGCTGAAAGAACTGTGGGAATAAAAGCAAACAGCAATGTAAGCACATGTGGAGTTTATTGTTAAACTCATAAATCAACAGAATGAAGGCTTGAAATGGGATCAATTTCCTTTCCAAATATTCAATCTGCTCATCCTCATCACATGTAAACAACAAATGGATCATTTACTTGTTTTTTCTTTCTGAAATGAATTGTGAAAATTATTCCAAAAGACAGTTTATATATTTACACTGCTGTTTTATTTACAGCAGCAATCTTTTGGGGTTTTTTTGGGGGGGTGGAGGGTAATTATAAAGAAAGATATTCTCTAAGACTGGCAGGTATTGTCTAATGCCTAAAATTGAAAGAATGTAATTATCTAGATGGCTTAAATGTTTACCAACTCTAATATCACTTGTAGCCCAAAAGTGGTAATTTGCAGTTTCAGTTTAAAAAGCAATGTCTTACCTCTTTTTATACTTTAACCTTTGTATCAGCAATACTAGAATGCTGTCAATGCCAATACACTACCTCCTAATGGAAGGTGATGGAAGACAATTATGTATGAGCTCCTAGCATTTGTGAAACTCATGGTAATACAACTTCCAAATACTGAAACCAAACGCCTGAGAACACTGTGCCAATGTTTCCACCAAATTCCCGTGATATCTATAAACAGACTAGCTTACTTCTTGGAAAAATTTTCCCTATTAAAAGCTTAAGATTTAGTGACTCTGACCTGTTTTCATTCTCTCAGTGCAACCACATACCTGAAAGTTTAGGTTGTGTCTTTTTCTTTTTGCTTGAAACTTTTAAGAACTCATCAATAAGCAAGTCGTTAGCACAAGCTCTCTTGTCAGGATCTGGTTCAAAACATTTCAGTATGAATGCCTTTGCCTCTCCCGACATGGACTCTGGGATCTCCGGGTGGACTTTAAACATTCCCACCTAAGACATAAGCATAATATGACTTCTGAGTGGCCACCTCATTACATGTGCTCCACCTTACATGTTTTGGTCCACAGCACAATGACATCCTTTATCATATACTACAAACTCATGACTTTTCCAAAGTTATATGAGATGTATTTTCTGTAGGTTCTGGAATGTTTCCATCAAACTTTCATAATTCTATCAATGTCACAGGTAGAATATCTAGCTTAACAAAGAAGATAGTACTATGAGTAATAATCCAGTTTCCAAAGCTTTGGAACACATGAGTATGCAAAAAAGGTTATTTTTAAATGAACTCACTCAGTTGTTCACAGTAGTGATATTCCAGTAACTGTTTGACTTTTTCCATTAATGTATCTCATAGAATTCTCCCAACAACCCAGTGGATTAAATATTTCCCTTGTTATAGCAATGAGGAAAATTAAGGCTCAGAGGGTGAGGTTAAATAGTTATGGAAAGGCAGATCTGGGATTTAACAAATAGCTTTGTAAAGCTATTTTCCCTGCCACAAGTTGTCTTCACTAAAGAGGTATTTTAAAACACTTTAAAATTAGACAAACAGTATTTTTATCACCATTAAAATTTTCTTCTCATTGCTATCATTCTACATTTTTTTTCAATAATGGTCTCATGCACTTAGTACAGAAAATAGGTAAGGAAATCTTTTTGCTATTATATAGTTTATTTAAATTTATTATTATATACATAATAATATACAATTATTTATAATAATCATCTAGCCATTACTCTGTATCAGACACTGTTCTAAGTGCTTTGCACATGCTATTTAAGGCATTCCTGAAAAAACTTTTATTAAATAAGTACCTCCTTTATGCCAATTTTATAGTTGAAGAAACTAAGATACAAGAAGGCTAAGTCATTTGCTCAAAGTCATCAAATGGATTGACCATAATGGGGCCTGAATTAATACTTTATTTATTTTATTTTTTTTTTATAGAGGCATGTTTTATTTATTTGTTTGTTTGTTTGTTTGTTTTGTTTATACATGCACTGGGTACAGTCAGAAGCGCGGGAGGGTGAGAGAATTCACCAGAGCCAGAGCGGGGAGCAGAGCAGGCAGAAGGACTGAAGTACACTGCTGAGGGGAGCAGCGGGCGGCAGGAGAGGTCTGCGCGCCATGTGGGACCCTCCTCCGGTGGCCGGGGAGCAGCTGGGGATCGAACCGGCGCCGCAGAGGCCGCGGGCGGCTTCGCAACCCAGCGCTCAACCGCTGCGCCACTGGGGAGGCCCTGAATTAATACTTTAGACTAGGGCCAGAGGCCCACATCAAATGCATGTTGTATGACCATCACCACACTAGTGCACAAGAGTGATTGCTCAACATGAAGTCTTAAATATTGTTAAAAATGTAAAATATTGGGCCTCCCCGGTGGCGCAGCGGTTGAGCACTGGGTTGCGAAGCTGCCCACAGCCTCTGCAGCATTGGTTCGATCCCCGGCTGCTCCCCGGCCACCGGAGGAGGGTCCCACATGGCGCGCAGACCCCTCCTGCCGCCCGCTGCTCCCCTCAGCAGTGTACTTTGGTCCTTCTGCCTGCTCTGCTCCCTGCTCTGGCTCTGGTGAATTCTCTCACCCTCCCGCGCTTCTGACTGTACCCAGTGCATGTATAAATAAATAAAAAATAAATCTTTTAAAAAAAAAAAAAAAAGTAAAATATTTTTTCATATGCCTGTTGGCCATTTGTATTTCCTCTATGGAGAAGTTTCTTTTTAGTTCTTCTGCCCATTTTTTGACTGGATTATTTACTTTGTTTTTGTTGAGTCTCATCAGCTCTTTGCAGATTTTTGTGATCAGTCCTTTATCATTAGTATTGTGTGCAAAAATTTTCTCCCAATTGGTGGGGTGTCTCTGTGTTTTGGTTACTGTCTCTTTGCTGTACAGCTCTTTAATTTGATGTAGTCCCAGCTGTTTATGTTTGCCTTCACTATCACTGCTTTGGGTGATGTGTCTTTAAAGATTTACTGAGGTGTATGTCATGTTGTGTTTTGCCTATATTTCCATCTACATATTTTATGGTTTCCAGTCTTATGTCTAGTTCTTTAATCCATTTTGAGTTGGTTTTTGTGCATGGTATGAGGTAGTAGTCAAGCTTCATTCTTTTGCATGTAGCAATCCAGTTTTCCCAGCACCATTTATTGAACAAAAGATGCAAATCAAAACTACAATGAGATACCATCTTACACCAGTGAGAATGGCACATATTAAAAAAACTAGCAACAACAAACATTGGCGAGGATGTGGAGAAAAAGGAACTCTTCTGCACTGCTGGTGGGAGTGCAAACTGGTCCAACCACTATGGAAAGCTGTGTGGAGATTCCTCAACTTGCTAAAGATGGAGCTTCCATATGATCCAGCAATTCTACTCCTAGGTATTTACCCAAAGGACACAGAAACATTAATTCCAAAGAACACCTGCACCCCTATGTTTATAGCAGCACTGTTTACAATAGCTAAGCTTTGGAAACAACCCAAATGCCCAAAAATAGATGACTGGATCAAGAAGATGTGGTATATATACACAATGGAATATTACTCAGCAATCAAAAAAGATAAACGCATGTAATTTGCAGCAACATAGATGGAGCTGGAAGGGATCATGCTCAGCGAACTAAGCCAGAAAGAAAAAGAAAAATACCAGATGGTCTCACTCATAGCAGGAATCTAGAACTCCTAAATAAGGGACCGGGAAAAAGACTAATTATAATAAAGTAAAAATCAAAATCAGCAAGCAACTATATACCAGAGACACACTACACAGCGGGGGAGTAGGATCAAAACAAGAGGGGTCAGAATTGTATGGGGACTATAACCAAGATGAAAATGCATACATTGTGCAAAAATGAAAAATGATGTAAAAAATATATAAATTAAGAAATAATAATAAAAATAAGTAAAAATTAAAAAAAATGTAAAATATTGGTCAAGAAAAGAAAGACACCCATTCATGTCAAGAAAGATAATTTTTTTAGTGGTGGCTCTCACTGTTCTTTCATTTTGGTTATCCTACTCATTTCTCTATCAGCAGTATCCCTTTGGATTAAAGCAATCCAGGTTTTGTGCAAAAGCAGAGGGTGTATAACCCCTACAAGAGGCTACTCACTAAAGGAACATGAGCTGGGAACATGGTCAATGGTAGGGTCAGGAATAATAAATCGTTATCAAAGTCCTCTGGCATGGAGAACGGCAGATGTGTGAGTTTTACTTGTTGAAAAGCAGGTTCTCATTGTAAACTTTCCTCTGCCTTCTCCATGTGGCATGGGACACCTGCAGGGATGCAGCGGTGGGGTCAGTGCTTTGCCCTGTCCCTGGATTCCAAAGCTGTGTTCCCTGGGTTCCCTGGGGTCTATTTCCATATCAAGTGCCCCTTACTGAAGATGGGGCTGGCTCCTACTCGCCAGAGTTACTACTGGGTAAATTAACAGGCAGGAAGAATAGATCTATAAAAAGGTGATTAATATACTTAAAAATAGCAATTAGGATCCCTTTGAAATAGAGCTTTCAACTATTATCATAGAGAAGTAAAAGAAAATATTACTTTGATTTAAAACCAAAATGGATAAAAAAGTTCTTACATCTCCCTTGGTGGCAGAGTTTCAGACTATTTCTGAAAGAACCTAAATCATCTTCCATGCAGTTATTTATATTGCATTGTAAAAAAGTGGTCAAAGGAAGTTACATTGAATCTCACTTTATAGTTGAGAAAACTGAGGTGGTGACTTCATTGGGAGGCACAGACATTGCCTGAGAGCCGTGAATCCTCTTGAACTTAATGTGTAATAAGGTTGTGCTTATTTAGGCTCTTTTCCTTTCACCTACAAAAGTATGACATGCACACAGAGAAAATCCAGTAGCTTTGAAAAGTTGTATCCATTGGTTTCTATGACTATTTAGACCTATGAAATATGACCTTGAACATAGCTGCTTGTGGTTCTCCCAGTTCATAGAAGGGTGGTTTTCCCGTGGCCATCTCGATGATCGTGCAGCCCAAAGACCAAATGTCTGCTGCCTTCCCATAGCCTCTTGGTCCTTTATCTATTATTTCTGGTGCCATATACTGAAGGGTACCTGGAAATAATTCAAACATACTTCCACTTTAAAAAGAAAACAGATGAATATTGACAATTTGTTTCTCTGCATCAATAAGCCGACTTTAAAGGCAGGATTTAGCTCTTAATGTCTAACATTTTTTAACTTATTTTTTGAGACCCAGTTTTCTCTGCTGTTAATGAAAGTGGAAATAGCAGTTTTTATAATAGGGTTTTATCAGTGACATAAAAATAGTTTACTAATATTATCTGGTTATGAATAGATATTATCTCATTTCCTAGATGGTAGAGTATAATTGAGGCATTGTTACAAACTTCTAAAAATTAGTCATTTGAGAACCACAGAGGATACATCAATACACATTTTCTGTGATTAGTTTTCCAAATACATGGAGACTGTATTAAATAAACTTTTCTAGGAAAAACTTAGATCATTCATCCATTTCTTTAGATCTATGCTTCTCCATTCCTGAATTCAATGCTTAGTTCTCTGACTTTCATTCTTATTTCTTAATCAAGAACGCATGAAGGTTCTGAATGCCATTTTTCAAAATAAAGTAAACAATGTTGGTATATTTTATTCTGTAAATCAAATACACGTGGCTTCTGTGGTATGCCTGAGGTCCACAGAATAACAGGTTTAACAGGTCATGAGTCATGAGTGCAGACAATCACCAGTCAGAATGAACATGAGTAAAGTGAAGAAGGTAAGAGATTTAGAAGGCTGCAAGAAATCAGTGTTGAAGAGTGCAATAGGATGAAAACAGCATTTCTCAGGGAACCAGGAACCCCTGGTTCTAGATCTAGGCTGCAGCTTCTCACTGGCTCAAACAGGAGGCTCGATCTGAACTTCCAATACTCCCTGGAGTGATTTTCCACAGTCCAACAATGAATTGGAATTCAACAGGAGCAGATTACTGCCATGTCCAACACTTCTGAAATGCTCGTACAAATGATTCAATCAGAAACAGAAGCCTATGCAAGATTGAATTACTTCAAATCCTGAGGCACTTGCAAAAAGAGCGACTTCAGTATTTTCTGATTTATAAGCAAAGTGACAGACATCTTTTATGAATACTTTCATGCACAGTTTAAAGGTGAAAACTGCTACACAAAATTCCTCTAAGCTATTCCTATGAAAACCATGATTATAAGCAAGAAATTCGCTGCTATTCATAAAAGTGTATTATTTTTGTCAAGTATTTTCATCTTGCCAGGTTTCCCCTCCAGACCTCATCATTACATGGCAGTAGCTCATGTTCCTGTTCATGTACAACTGCACACGTCTGCTCTCAGCTAAGTTGGCAACATTATTGGAGGAAAACATTCCACTTGGCAAAGGATGAGGTAACCATGCTCCTCCGATCACCTACCCTCACAGAAAACTGTTAGCATTTCTCTTCCTTATAGCTTACTCCAAAGTGATCATTTTTCTTGATGTAAACAAAATTAAGTGGTATTTCAGAAAATGTGTTGAAGCCTAGCACATTATTTTGTTGTCTTTAAAACAGAGTTGATGCGAAAACTTTAATTATATGAATTACAACTGATCAAAAATACAGTGGATTAAAAAATTAGACAATTCAAGTAATAGCTTAACAATTAGGCAATGTTTTTATTCATCAGATGATATTTCAAATGAGCGCTATCTGCCAATTGTGTTCAATTATCCCCCATAGAGAAAGTGCAAAAAAAAACCCCCAAAACAGGCTTAGTCATAGCTGCTCCTCTCTTTACTCACAAACACATGACACATGATATTTTACATAAAGAGATTTACAGATCTGGATAATGAAGATGTAAGTCAATCTGAATATTAGCCCCAGGGAAACAAGTGAGAGTATTTTAACTGTAAAGCTCATATCTTATATATCTTTATTTCAAAGTTTAAAAAAGTTACTTTAAAAAAAAAAATCTACTTTAGAATTTCTTTGCCACTGCAACCACCCGAGGAGGTGGTACATACAGCTTAGTGGCTGAAAACATAAACTCATGATGTCACCCTAGAGAGCACAATAAATGAAAATTATAAGCGTAATAAATAAGTAAATTATATAGCATGTTAGAAAGTGACGGGTGATGACTTAAAAAAAGATAGTAAAGAATATTGAGAGTGCCAGGACACTGCTATGTAAGTGGGGAGGGGTGGTCATAGTGGGCCTCTGAGCGAAGACTTTCAGGAGGCGAAGGGATTATCCATGCAGATAGATGGAAAAGTATGAGCATCAGAAGAAAAGCCATGTGCAAAGGCCCTGAAGCAGGATTCTTCCCGGAGGAGTGAAGAAATGAAGGAAGGCCCATGTTTCTGGCACACAGGGAGGAAGAGACGGGAATGAAATCTAAAAGACACACCCCTCTGTACCAGGTGAAAGACTTGCCCGCCACTGTAAGGACTTTGGTGTTTATTTACTCTGACAGAAAGCTACTGAGGGCTCAGTGATTAGGACTTGATTTATGCCTAAAAGGGATCTCTCTGACTGTGATTTTGAGAATAGACAGTAGGGGCAAAAATGGAAGCAGGGAGAACAGGCTACTGAGGTAATGAAGGGGAGGGGTGAGGAATAGATTCAGTTTTGGAGGCATGTTGAAGGCAGGGCCAAGAGGATTCCTTGATGGATAGGGCTGGAGTGTGGGAAAAGAGAGGAACGATGGATAACTGTAAGTTTGGAAAGGCTATCAGCTGAGATAGGGAACAGTGTGGGTGGAACAAGTTTGGGGAGAAGAGACTTAATTCCACTTGGCATGTTAAGTCTAGTTTGAATTACAGTTCTATTGCATTAGCTTTATGAGCTTGGGCAAGTTGTTTAATCTCTTTAATTTTCCCACCATGAACTGGGATAAAGATATCTAAGAGTTAAGGTTGATGTATGAATGTCAATGCAACAACATGTGTAAAGGACTTAATGCAGTCAGACGTGTGGTAATCATTTCAGAAAGGATGTCCCCTACTGCCTTCCCTGTCACCAAATCAACAAGAGGTGAATCAGAACAATGCCTTTCACTTCAGACCCTGAGAAGTTGGCTCAGCACCTGCGAATTGGCCAGTGCTATGAGGCCTACGGTGGTGGGTAGACCCAGTCCCTGGGGATCACGGTGGCTGACAGAACACAGCATATTGTCAAAGATGCCTCTCTTGTGTGAGGCCAGCACAAGGTGTACAGGCAAAGGGCTCAGGGAGGACAGCTTTACCTCATCTTCCTTGGGGATTTTACCAAAAACAAAACAAAACAAAACAAAAAACCCAATGTTTTCAAGATTAGAATATATTAAATTAATATTGTTCAAATTATGTACTTGACATACAATCTGCAGGGATTTCCCCTGCAGAAATTACTGAGTCTTAGTAGCATCTAAAATGTCTCTTGCCAAGTCGAGACAGTATGAAGAAAGAAATGTAAAGGCATTTAAACTTACTAAGAGGTCGAAGCTTATTTTGTTACAAAACCAAAAAACATTCAGAATGTGTTTACTTCTGGGTACCTTCATTGCTGCATGAATGTTCTAAGGAGAAAACTTGCTGAATTTCTCTCTCTCCCCCTCATAGGCTACCAGAACAGATAATTAGCAAGGTGGAGAAAAAGATGGACTTGAAAAGGTCAAAGCAGACAGCAAAGGGTAGATTAAATATCTACCCTTTATCATTTACTAACTGTTGTGACTTAGGTGTGATGTGTGTTGTTTCTCCGATTCCTTATTGGCAAAATAGGGGTACTGCTACCTCCCTCCCAAGATTCAGAAACAGGGACATCTAGCTGTTTTGCTGTATCTTAGACAAAAGATTACTCATGATCTTTTCTAGTGAAATTATTTTTTTCTGATAATAAATCCAAGAACTTAACACTTTGTGACAACAGGCAGGATGGAGTGATAAAAACATTGAGGGAAAAGCAGGGTTGAAGTTCCAGATGCTCTCCCTATACCTTCTGGGCAGCCATCCATTTCTCTGTGCCTAAGTTTCTTGTTTGCTACTGTTACCTTTTTGGAAATCACTTAGTCTCCACCCTCCCAGGACTTTGCTCTAGAGGCAGCCCAGGCAGCCCAGGGGCTGGATTGCCTAATTTCTCAGACAAGCTCTCTCTTCACCCCACTTCTGAGCTGGTGAGTCACTTCCTCTTTCTGAATTGAAATCCTACAGTTATTTATGTTGTGAGTAGAGGAATATACCACAGAGAGTAAACAGATTAGGAAAGAGGGAAATCATAGTCCAAATGGGAAGTGATTAAGGTATGACAAAGAATCACAGAGAGGTTAGACTAAAGAAATGCTAAAAAAAAAAAAAAAAAAGAAAGAAAGAAAGAAAGAAATCTTGTCAGGATTATAGTACAAGTGGGAGAGAACAATGACATAAAAAGAAAAACAAGTAGCAAATTGAGAGAAAACTTCAGTAGTATTAAGAGAAGGTGCAAGTTATATAAATACAAAATGAGAACAGGCCTAGATCAAAATCTATGTAACATTTTCCAGTAAGCCTCAACAGATACCAGCACTCATGTTTGTGAGAACACAGACTACACTTATCTCTCACAGTATGCTCAAATGCACCAATTATTTCTCTAATTACAAAAGATCTGTATCATCATTGCAAAAACATACCCGTAAAAGTTTCAGTACATGGATTTATGCCAGCAAGCCTCTTTGATGTCCCAAAGTCAGAGATCTTGAGGACACCACTGTAGGTATTAATCAACACATTGTCACCCTAGAGAAAACAGGATTTTAATTAAAAATATGTTATCTTTCTCCCAATACTGTTTGTGTTGACTTGCAAGTTCAATAAGAAAAGGCATCTTTAGAGCAAACAAGGACACTAATTTCATACTCTTATTTAATAGTTCCTCTCAAAAGCCTCTTGATACAATTTTTTTTAAAGATTTATTTATTTATGCATACAAGAACTGGGGTACAGGCCAGAGGTATGGCGTGTGAGAGCATTCAGAGAGACAGAGTGGGGAACAGAACAGGCAGACTGACTGAAATACACTGCTGAGGGGAGCAGCGGGCAAGGCAGGAGAGGTCTGCCATGCCTTGTAGGTATCTCCCTGGCGGGCCAAGGATTGAACTCGTGCTGCAGAGGCTGCGGATTGCTTCATAGTGTGGTGCTTAACCCCTTGTGCCACCAGGGAGACCCCCAATTTTTGTTTATAAATTATCAGTTGTTCAGAATTTGCTACTCAGGTCACAAGGTCAAACATGGTTTCTAATTAGAACTTGCTGTGGTTTACAGATAGTAGAGGCTGTGTGTGATATGTATGATAAATGTGAGTATGGTAATCATAAGTTCCCAGTCACTTAACATTCTTTTCTAAGTTGTTTTACTTCTTGTCCTGGAGCATTTAGGGACCAGCACAAATAAATGGGCTTTTACAGTGTTTTAGGAGTAGTTAACATTAACTTACTCTTAATAGTCAGTCTTGGTTAGAAATTGGTTACTTCTAAATTTCCTCTTTTTAAAGAAAATCTGAAGTTATTATAGCTCAGTCTGCATACATGTGATATTGTAACAGGGTGGTCCCCAGGAAAGGGGTAAGTTCCAGGTTCCCTGCCCCACCTAAGGGAGGGTGGAGCTGAGCAGGGAGAGAAGAAGCTGCAGAGGAGACTGAGGAAGGAAGCAGGATGGAGCCAGGAGACCTGGAGGAGGCGCATGGAGCCTAGACACATGAAAAAACTGCGCTTGTCTTTTGGTCATGGACTGGGTGACACAGATGTAGGTGAGACCCATGGGGAGGTGACAATGGCAGCTTTTATCTTGATGTTGATTTTGCTCTTTTTCTTCCGGGCTTGTCTGGTTGTTTCTGGCCCTTTTCTGTGGATCCCCACTGGAAGATGCTTTAGACTTGTGGCAGACTTTGGGGCCTTGCTCTGGGCCAATCCCATTTGGATGGACTTTTACCCACGAGGGGACGGGTAACTTTGGGTGCTTCATTTAGAAACTAGACTCTTTGCCTTACCTGTATTGTTTCCTAGTTTTATTAAAGTTCCTTCCCAATCAAGTCTCATATGTTTTGTGTTGATGAGGCGGATGGCAGAACCCATTTAGAATAGGCAGGTTTGCGGGGATTGGGCGGCCCCTCTCCCTGTCCTATAACAATACTACTTATGAGGGTAGGGAGATTTTTTTCTTCATTCCCACCAATCCTCCATTAATTCAATAAATATTTACTGGGTAGCTATTAAGGACAAGGATACAAAGATTAACCAGCCTATAATCTCCATATCCTGTTCAACTTTGATCTGCTGTGCTACCAGCCCCAGAAAGCACCGAAGCAGTGGCTGGCAGGTAATGGAAACTCAATCTCTGAACATGGTTCAACCTTGAACATGGTTAAGGAGTTTATTCTTTGAATAGAAGAGGTAAGAAATGAGTGTCAGGAAGTAATTCAAGGCAGTGTGATATATTTTTGCTATTTCTAAGATTTATTTTATTCACCATTGTAATTGATATTTATAATGCAACATGACTTTTACAAATAAAACAATTACCCACTAAGGCACAAGGAAAATGAGTCCTAGTTCATTTTACCTTTATATCCCGGTGAACTATCTGATTGTCATGGAGGTATTTTAATCCTTCCAGTATCTGCTTTGTATAAAAGCCAATTGTTTGCTCATTGTCTTTCAGAGGGCCCCATTTGGAACGAAGGAGAGCAGAAAGACTTCCTGTAAAGCAGGGCACAAGAAGGTAAAATTTTATTAAAGTAAGTCCTTTAAAGCACATTAACACTGTAAATTTGATTTAAGCTAATATTTATGAAATATTCACAGTGGCCTAAGGGCTGTACTGGACACTTGGGCTCAAATATGGATTTAAACTCTGAAGATAGTTTTCAAATATAGTCATAAAAAAGCTGACTCATCGAATAATCTTAATTCAAGTCACAATGATTGAGATACTAAGAGACAGAGTGTGTGTCCCTACAATATATCACTTTAACATGGGAGTAATCTTAAGCTAAAGACAATGAAGACCCAAAGACTCAGGAAGAGTTTGTGACATTCCTCTTATCTGCTGAAAGAATTTAGATAGAGGGTCTATTCCAGGAAAGGAATTATCACCATTGGTTAATATAGTACAGTAAGAGGTAGGTGTGGTAGATTGGGAGGAACCCTGCAGAATCTGTTAAAATTCCTCTGTCCCACTGTCTTAGCTTGGCCAAGCAAACACATTTGTCAAATATGTGATCTTTTCATCTTCTTGTGACTTTCCTTCCTTCCTTTTGAAGTGCTAGGCCCCTACTCTCTTTCTCTTTCGACCTAAATAAGATATATTTTACACACACACACACACACACACACACACACACACACACCCCAAATTTGTTAACCATCTTTGGAATTTTTAAGATCTGTGAAGGGTCCCTGAAGGTACCTAATTACATTTTTTCTCCAGTTAATTTGTCAAATGTTAATTTGACTGTTCAACCAACCAAGAAGAAACAAGAGTGGAAGGAAGAAATTTCCCCTCTCTGACAATATTAAAATAGTTTGGCTATTTATTTATCTGCTAATAAACTGCAAGGTAATATCTAATTTTTCTTTTAATGCAGGCAAATTCCACTCCAGTTTCCTCTGTTTTAAGACTCTAGACATTTATACTTTCTATTTACTAAATTTATTTATGCATACAAGAACTGGGGTACAGGCCAGAGGTGTGGGGAAGTGAGAGGAGTCACCAGAGATAGAGTGGGGAGCACAACAGGCAGATGGACTGAAATACACTTCTGAGGGGAGCAGTGGGCAAGACAGGAGAGGTCTGCTGCGCTGTGTGGATAGCTCCCTGGCCAGCCAGGAATCGAGCTTGTGCTGTAGTGGCTGCGGATAGCTTCCTAATGTTGTATCTTAACCCCTTGCACCAACAGGGAGGCCCCGCATTTATATTTTTTAAAGAAAGAAAAATATTTCTTACCTCCTGGGACCTGCTCCATAAAGATTTTAATGAAACCATTCTCACTGAAAGAGCCCAGATACTGGACAATATTTTTGTGCTTAAGATGCTTATGCAATGCTATTTCTTCATGTAGAGGCTGGGAGTATCTAAAAGACATAAAAATGTCAATGAGCTAATTATGTACCCAGACTTTAGTCTATACATGTAAGCAATACAAACTGAAAATGTCAGCTAAAAAAATACCCATATATATAAAATAAAATATGACCATTTAAGGCCCTTATTTCTCATAACATAAATTCTGTGATGTTGAAACTGTGGTAGGGTCTGAGAGGAAATGTGTAGGCACTATTCTAAGCCTTCTGTACTTATATATATTAACTCATTTCTCACAATAACCTCATGAAAAGATACTATTAATATGCTTATCTTACAATGAGGCACTTGCCCAACATCTCAAAGCTAGTAAGTAAAAGAGCTACCATTTGAAACGAAGAAAATTGTTAATTATCCAGATGACTTACTGTCTCCATTAACATGACTTTCTATTCCATTGGTCTCATAACATAACTTTATTATTCCTGAAATTATTACCCAGGGAGACAGAAATTCTAATAACTTTGTTAGTTCCAGAACTTACTGAAAAGCATATTCTCTCTTCAACAAAAAACACAAATCACTTACATCTCAAATCTCCTTGAGATCTTTGCCTTAAAATCTTCATCTTACCATTAACTCTATTGTATTATACTTCTATTTCTTTTTTCTATGCAATCCTAACCAAGACTAAAAGGTCAGCTTTAAACCAGACTTTAAAATTATATACTTTATCAAAATATAAAATGAAAGTATTTTATATTTTTGGCATAATAATATACTTTTGACAATTATTTGAAGTACTATAAAGCTGGTAAACTTTTTTTTTTTAAATAAAGTAATTTTTTTTAAAAGATTTATTTATTTATGCAAGTACTGGGTACAGTCAGAAGTGTGGGAGGGTGAGAGAATTCACCAGAGCCAGAGTGGGGAATAGAACAGGCAGAATGACAAAGAAATACACTGCTGAGGGGAGCAGCGGTCGAGACAGGAGAAGTCTGCATGCCATGTGGGACCCTTGCCGCCGGCCAGAGATCGAACTGGTGCTGCAGAGGCTGCGGGCAGCTTCGCAGCCCAGCGCTCAATCACTGAGCCACCAGGGGAGGCCCAAAGCTGGTAAACTCTTAACAATCCTGAATACAGTGTAACTCTACTAAAATTATTGTATAATTAACTATAGTAGGGTATCAGCAATCATAAACTGAGACTCAAAGCTATTCCTTAATATTTGTTCTGTTGTACAATGCAGACTGCAGATGTGAAATACAAACCAGGTGCCTCATACTTGCTTCAATCCTACATGCAAAAATTACTTAGAATTTACAGTGACAAATCTATATCAACAGAATGCCAATAATAAATACTAGAATTAGTTAATATTGAATAATAGTATTTTCATGGAGTTTTTCAAGGATAAGCTTTCAAGCTAAATAATTAGCAGATTACAAAAATTTTCAGCTTAAACAAATTTATAATCTGTGAATATTACTCAGAAAGTTGTCCACCAAAAAATTGACTTGTATTTTAGATCTTTCATTCATTTCATTTTTCTTTAAAATTGCTCCAGAAGTGGGTATTAAACTGAACCCATTAAAAGGGTATCCACTAGGACAGTAACATTATTTGATAATTACTTGAATGAGTTAACATGAAAACACTAAAATATAATGTTACCACAAAGATACTTAGGTAATGACCCTCAACTTGAACGCCATTTGCAAGCTCTTTTCCCCAGGGGATTTCAAACATTTTCACATTAGTTCAAGAATGCTCTTGATATGCATGAGATACACCAGTGGAAAATATTTGGGCACATTCTACAGATTTAGGAGATCAAGATGACTGAAAAATCTGAAGCAAGCAATTAAGTCAGTTTCTGATGTACAAAAGGAATCCCACCTACTGACCCTCTACTGAAAATCAGTAATGAATGCTGAAAGGTAAGATCCTGCAGAGGTAAAAACACTACTCCCACCCATTATGTAACCCAAGGATAACTCAAAAGATAAAATAATAGTCAATAGTCAGGATTCTTAACTAAGAATAAAAGCTCTTCTCCAACATGGAAGTTAGTAGTAACATCCAATAATTTTCACTAAGCATGTAAGTGCTAAAACCTCAATAAGCACGAAATTATGTTTTTAGAATGTGAAGGAAACACAGAAGGAACTGGTTTTGTTGCCACGATCCGCGTCACAGATGGCCATGTCTAGTGCATGCTGGAGCATACATTATTTACATCCCTCCTATTACCTTCGCAAGGATCCTTTATGACTGTTGTCTTTTTTAATGGAACATCTCTCCAGGGCACATAGATGGAAATACCTTTGTGTTGTATCTCATAATAACAACATGATAGACTCCACAGTCATCTTCTTTGTTGATAACAAGGATGCCCTGCACCAGCTGTTCAGAGAAGGGCTGTTCACGAAAGTGTTTTCAAACAACCCACATGACAATGATGTGTAATGGTTACAGGATCTTTGTTGGTGTTGGTGCGCTGCGCTTGGTGTATGCACTTGGTGTGTGCCCAGCCGTAGTTGAATGAATGGAAGCTACATAGTAATTTTATTTTTCCTAATATAATTGCTATTGTTTTACCATTGGTTTACACCACGATCTAAGTAGCAGTGCACAGTTACACCACAGGAGTGCAGTTACACACCTCATTATGTGTATATACCACACCCAACAATTGTGATTTTTATATAACATTTTCTTCTGGGTGCTTATTTAAATTCATCTAGTAGTAGGAGGGGAAAGGATGTTGCCAAAGCTTAATAAGCTCAGCTACAGCAATTTAGTAAGGACACCCCTTTAAATTTTACATTGTTTCAAAATCTAGCTTAAGTATAAATTAAGAACCCATAGGGATATTTAGCAACAATTTTAACATGACAAATATAATTATATACGCTACTTTAGGTATTGAATGAATTTCTATTACTACTTCATAAGAATTCATAAATGTCTCATGAATTAACCAAGAGAAAACTACAGCAATACCACAGAAAATATAAATTGAAACCATACATGAGGCCCATAGCAAGAGCTATTTACCTGCCCACTCTCTGTTCTTTTTTCTAATGACTGTTTGAAGAGAAAAATGACTAGTTAAAAACTATTGAGTATCTAACTTCCCTTGTAGTTAGTTAGGGCTGGTCACTTTTAGCCAGTGAACAGACATGAACTTATGCTAGACATCTCTGGGAGTTTGCTTTCCGTTTTCTTCTTCCTGCCTGAAATGCAGATATGGGGGCTGGAAGGCACAAAGGCCCCCTTTGAAAGTCAGTATGAAGGGGTTAGGACCTTGGACATTGGCTACAACGAAGGGGGTGATATGTCAGCTTGTTGTCATCAGAGAAGACCTTTCTGAAGGCTTAAAATTTGAAATGAGACCTAAATGATGAACATGAGGTACTGCCACCAAACTTTTTACTCTTCAGAAATTCTGTCCTGTTTCCCCAGAGATGCTTCCTTCCCTATTGATCTTGTACTCGAACCACTGAATGGTTCAGCAATAATCCCCAGAAGGAGCTAATTAAAACCATGGCATTTTTAGACAGTTTCATTAATCAGATCACAACCAAATTATTTTTTAAAATATTATTATCAACTCGAAATATCTTAGAAAAAACATCTTTTACTAGTCACAATGACTGTACCTGCTATCTCTCTCTGGGATTTCCTTGATAGCGATTCTGACCTGGTTGCTTAGGTCTCGACCTGCATACACTATCCCGTAAGTGCCTTTTCCTAAAACGACTCTGTCACCATTTTCATCATATTCATAGTCATACTACAAAAGAAAAAACGGGGAGAGAAGATTGACACATCAGTTACATTCTACATTTTAAACATCAATATTTTTCAAGAGCATTTTTTCTTAATTTATCAAATGGCTTTAACAAGTGGAACAATAAGGTGTTTGAAGAAGCAGCCTCAAAAACCAAAAGATATGCTGTCTCAACATAAAGCAGATAGTGTGTCCATGTTTTCACAATTCTTATGAACACAGTGGGGATTATGTACTTAAATCCATAAAAGGGCTTCTCCCAAATGCTTCCTTGAAATTCTTGTTTTTCAATGATTCTGGATAGGAGTATGATTAGCATCAAGTCTATGAATGTCTAGCACCTCTAAATAATCTTTCATTTGTTTTTCAACTTTTGATATAGGCAAAGTATTTCACATTCTGCCATGAGGGAAAATACCACTTAAAGTCTTTGGGTTGGAAGAAAATTTTGAAGTCTTAATAAATAGTTGATGATAAGCTAAGTATTGTTTTTACTTCACACCAATTTCCCTAAGACAAAAAAATTTTTTAAAAAATGAAAAGAGGGAGAATTTCATGTTTGATGTATAAAGGAAATATCTATAGTCTAAACCCCAACTGTCAAGCATACCAGTCAAACAAGAAAAATTGGATCAAAATGAAAAGGGTATAGAGAGCATTTGTCTTCAGATGTGGAGACATCATCTAGAAATCCACATACTTTATATTGGATTCAAACCACAGAATATAGGGTCATTACATGCTCAAGCATTGTCTCTGAAAACTGTGAAACTATAATTCAGCAGACAAGAACAGAGAATATGTGTTTTCTACTGTCTACATTTTGAGTACAAAATTGGCAGCCACAGCTAGATTCACAGAAAGGTTTGGTTGACCACTGGAAGCAATTGATTTCTAACATTGAAAAGCCAATACATTTAATATTAATAGTGAAAAATAATCCACAAAGAGGATAGTAATCATGGATATTTACACTCAAAACGGTCTTAAAGCAGAGCTGATAAAAAGACAAAGAAAACCAGACAAATATAAATCACAGTGGGTCTTAATAGAATTCTTAAAAAAATTGGTATGTCTAGCAAACAGATCTATAAAATATGAAAGTATCAGACCGTAAAAGGAAGCAGCGATACAAAAATAATCAGATTACTCTGAAATGGGTATATATTCTTGACTTGAGAAATCACTGCTGTAAAGGATGAGGGAGGTGTGGGGCATGTCATTACCAGCTCCAATTTATTTATCTCCAACAGGTTTCCAAGTCTTGATAGAAGCAATAAGGTTGGAGTCCCTTGGGAAAGCTATGCCCAATACCAGGCTAGGACTGCGTGAGCACTGACCTCCTATCATGCACCTTCTCTGACTAAGGACAGGGGCCAAGCTCTGTAAGGTGATATCAGTGGTGACCGTGAGCACCCATTCCTAGGTACCCTGGTTTGTTAGATAAATACTCCTATTCTGGCTGCCTAACATAGAGCTAAAGATTGTCCTAGTCCGGAGCAGGAGAAAGTTATGTTTTCAGGGTAAAGGAATAGGGAGCAGGAATCAATTAACAATTACCCCAACTAGAAGATAAAGCTAAGATAAAGGTAAGGCTCCAGTAAAGAGACATTACATAGTACACCAGTAACAATGCCACCAGTAAGAACCCAAGTCTCCACACTCAATTCCTGTCTGGATTTCCACCATGCTATGCCATCCATGATGGAAATTTACCAGCCAGAACCAGGCCAACAGGAGGCAGGCCAAGAACCATTACCTATGTAGCTCATCTTTGTCAATGCTTCCAATCAAAGGAATAGAAACCTCTACAGTGAACCTAGTTCTATCATCACCATACATTATTATAAGTTAAAAGAATAAAAAAAAAAGAATTAAAAAAAATAAGCTAGCTCATGTGATGGTCATTATAAGCCTGTACCAAAGTAGGGAAGATCTATGACTAGCTCCAACTTATAAATGATCAGAAATATCTCTTCCAGTGAAAGTATTTCAGAACCGAGGTTTAAATCCAGCTTACAAGATCCCAGATTCTGTGTTCTTTTAAGTACTATTTCCAAACACTGGCATCATAAAAGTGTTCCAGCATACTGTTAATGTCCACTGAATATCCGCTCACCTTTTCAAGCTGACATCTGGAAGCCCCCTAGACTCTGTACATTTCTTTCCTTTACTCCTCATATCAAAGTGATTGCCAAATGCTGACAGATTTATTCTCACTTGCTATTGCCTGAGGTCAGGGCGGCCCTGCTTTTCTTCTCTACTGCCCTCACTCTTCCAGCATCTATCACTCCTCTTTCTCAGTCTACATCCCAAGCATAAGCTCAGCTCTTTGAAAACCAGGACTTTATCTTTAATTGCTCTGTCCCTAGTCTCAGCAATCTATCTGATTTGCCATGCTCAGTGATGATCTGCTGAGTTAATTAATCAGGCTTAGAAAAGTTGATGAGAAGCTTTAAAAAATAGGTGCCAAACAGGGACTCCCTGGTGGCACAGGGGTTAAAGTCTCAGCACTATCAAGCTATCCTCAGCCACTGCAGCATGAGTTTGATCCCCAGGCAGAGAGCTACCCACATGGCACATCAGACCTCTCCTGTCTCTCCCGCAGCACCCCTCAGCAGTGTATTTCAGTAGATCCGCCTGTTCTCTCCCCACTCTGTCTCTGGTGAATCCTCTCACTGTTTCCCACCTCCGGTCTACACCCCAGTTCTTGTATGGTCTTGTATAAATAAATGAAAATAAATCTTAAAAAAAAAAAAACAAACAGGTGGCAAACAAAACATTCAGTCAGTATTAGTTTATCTTTGGTTGAAAAGAGTTTTGCCACAGGGGTATTTATTATTTATATTTAAGGACGCTCTTTAAGTTTTAGTTCTCCTCAGGAATCTAAAGCATCAAAAGATTATTATTCTTCTTTAAAGATTATTAGGTATGGGGCCTCTCCTGGTGGCGCAGCGGTTGAGCGCTGGGCTGCAAGGCTGCCCGCAGCCTCTACAGCACTGGTTTGTTCCCCAGCCGCCGGCGAGGGTCCCACAAAAAAAAAAAAAAAAGATTATTAGGTATGGAAGTTGACTCCTGACAACAAAGTGGTCACAGCAAAATTCATAAGGACCTTTGGTAAGATCAAGGGGACTGAACTCACTCCAATGAGTAATTGCTACTTGGGTTCTTTTTATCTTCCCTTTCTATTCTTACGAGATAGAGATATAAACTGAAAAGTCAGGATTGAGGAGACCAGCCTGCTCTCTAAGGGCAGAGAATTATCTGTGTGGTAGCCAGATAAAGCAGAAAGAAGCTGGGCCAAGGACTAAGAGAAGGCAGGGTCTGTTAAATGCCAAACGTGGAGAAAAAGGGGGGTGGGTGGGTAGGTGGAGTGTTTCAAAAAATAAAAAGTAAGAGTACACTGCTTATATATATTGTATTCCATTTCTATGGCAATAGGGTAGCAAATCAGGTTGTTGCTAGGGGAAACAAGTGCATTTTGAAGCAATGATGGGAATACTTCTAGAATCATCCTCCTATTGTTGTCTGCCCACCACAGTCTAAACTCGTGCTGGGAAGAGAATGAATGTAGGATGACAATACTGACAAGGCCAAACAAAGTGGTGATTCACTTAGTCCTTGCTCTGTCAAGGGACCTCTAGTAACACAACCACATTCTCAAAAGCCACTTACTTCCCGTGGTACTTAATCACACTAGGTGACTAGTCACCACACAGACCAAAAGGTAGCTTTGTAATTTTCAGTCTGCATTGCCTTCTTAATATGTAAATGCTAAAAACATTAATCATGATTGATGGCATTAACAGAATGCTGAAAATGCTGCAGGTACAAAGCTGTAAATCTAATTAGCTAGATCTCTCTTCCCTCTGATTTTTCTCAAACATCACCCTCTCAATGAGTCTCCCCTGACATCTTTGTCTAAAATTGTACACACCTTTACCCTGCAACTTGCTAAGCCCTTCTCTGTGTTATTTAAAACTGATCATTGTCATCCCCGGCTGGGGAGACACCCACATGGTGCAGCAGACCTCTCTTGGCTCACCTGCTGTTCCCCTCTGCAGTGTATTTCAGTCAGTCTGCCTGTTCTGCTCCCCGCTCTGTCTCTGATGAATGCTCTTACCCCCCATGCCTCTGGCCCATGCCCCAGTTCTTGTATGCATAAATAAATAAATCTTTAAAAAAAAAAAACACTGATCATGGTCAAACACATGATATAGTTTAACTATTTATGTTGTTTCTTGTCCATTAAATTATGTCCAATGAGAGGCAGAGATTTTTCTCCATGTTGTTGTATCCCCAGCACCTAGAATAGCACCAACCACATAGGAGGTCTCTAAAAAACAAGTGTTGAGTGAATCGATGGGATCTATTTGGATCCACCAACATGGCGTGAAGATAATTTTAAACTGAAAATAACTGAATAAATAATAGCCACAGGAAATAAATATTACCTAAACATTTTTTGCTGACTCCTAAAAAATACAGCTGCCACTATCCATTCTTAGGGACATTTAGGACCATTTGTATCTGAATGAGAAATGACATAATAAAACCTTGTCAAAACTTTTTATGCCTTCCATTTCTCATTGATTTCCCTAAAATTTGCTTTACCTTGAAGTCCTAGTAAGGACTTTTCTTATTAGGATAAATTATTATATTATTATTTTTACATTTTAAAAGGACAGGTTTATTAGGAAAAGGAGAAAGAAATAAAGGGGCACCTGCATAGACATAAGTGGGCAGGAGAGCTGCTTAAGATAAACTCTTAACTCTAGCTGTTCAATGGCCACTTTTTTTGGGTGCTCCCATAAGCATGAATAGACTTTCTTTTCTCCTGTTAATCTGTCTTCTGTCAGTAAATTTGCAGGTCCCCTATCACTGAATCTGAGTTGGTGGAGGAAAAAGTTTTTTTCTTCCCAATAGAATGAATAATGAGTAACAAAAACTGATATATCATACAACATGGTAAGTAAATGGTTTTTCAGACAGTATAGTAACTG